CGATTAGGTTCTATATTTCACTCCTATGGTTTTGTTATGTGTATGTTCACCGATTTCTTCGAAACGGCTAAAACGATTAATTTTTTTTAAAATTTTATTTATTAAATAGGTTATACTTCAGGTTTGGTTCCATATAAATTTAAAGAAAAATCTATTCTTAAATATGCGGAAAATAGGGTATGAAGATTTTAATGTACCTATTTTAACGACCTTCTAGTTATTACCTTGAACTTGTGATATTACCTTAGAATTAGAAAATTCACAATTTATTTATTTATTTATTTTTTATTTATCTTCACGCACAATCCCTGACGGGGTAGCCAGAGAGAACAGATCGCCAAGTGTCACGATCCTTACATACCTCTTTCGCTTCTTTCAGATTCATTATCTTCTTCATGCATGCACGTCTAGGTATCCGAGTACTTTTGACCCTACCCTCTTCGAGCAATTTGCTCACATGGTCTTCGAAAGTTATTCTCGGTCTACCTCGACACCTTTTAATATTAACTTTCGCGCTATATATTTTCTTCACCATTCGGTCTTCACTCATTCGCTCAACGTGCCCAAACCACCGAAGCACGCCCTTATCAATTTTTGTGATAAGGTCATCTTTCAAACCTGCCATATTGCGAATCTCTTCGTTTCGCTTTCGGTCGGCCATGGTAACGCCGCACATTTTACGAAGAGATCGCATCTCCACTGCATTCAACTTACTTTTATGCTTCTTCTGGCATACCCAGGTTTCGCTGCCATATAACAAAGTCGGTACCAACACTGCGTTATGTATTGCAAGGCGTGCACTCTTCGCTACGCCTTGCCTTTTGACTAACGCAGTCAGGGCACCATTGACTTTGTTCCCGGCAGCGACACGCCTGTCCACATCTAAATCACATCTTCCATCCCGGCTAAAAGCACTCCCCAAGTATACAATTTTTCAAGAAAATTCACAAGAGTAAAATAATTAAGCCTATAATAAAAAGTAATAAAACGACTTTAAAACTAAATACAAAATATAAAATTTAAACAATAAACGTGTTTATGTTGGGACTATTCGTAATTCTTATTACACTATTGCTTAGGACCGACTACAGGAGTTATTATGTTGACATTCTTTTTCGTTTTAAGTTTGTTTTTACTTATTATTAATTATTAAAGGTTTAATTATTTCCACTAATGTTCTTAGTAATAAACAGTAAGTTTGTGTTTGTATCTATATTTTCGCATTCCGTATCTTTATTCGTGTTATGTTTATCACTACATATTTACTTCATTATTCAATCAATTACGCCGCAGCCGCTAATAAGGTATCCGCATAATAATTTTGAATGTAGGCCATGACATTATTATTTTCTCTAAAATATTTTTATATTCTTACATTGAATGTTATTTTAATAGCTCTTTTAAAGGACATTGTAAATAAAATGCAACGACGAATATTTCAAACAACTTCGTCTAATAAACTTGGTAACCGCGAACACTAAGCGAAATTCGATCACAACTTCGTCTAGTTCAAGTCAGCTTTCTCCTAAACTTGGCCACAGAATAAATAACAATGACGTAACTCGGCTAATTTTATAACGCTTAGGTATCTTTTTTTTAAACTTTCCAAAAATATTGACTAACTGAAGTGTCAGATCTTAATGAGATCCGTTGCAATCAATTTATATTAATTAATGCTGACCACAAATTTAAATTGTTATTTTAAACAAACAAACAGCCAACTTTTGTCTGACAACTGTTCTAAATCTTATTGAATAAGCGGCACTTATCGTATTAGGGTATTAAATAGTGACAGCTTTTTTGTGAGTAGATGTACATGTACATAATACATACACATTTGCCAGTATATTTTTATATGAAGCGTCAGTAGCCTAATGGCAGGGCGCGGAACGCTACGGTGGACGCCATCATGCGCGTGAGAGCCCTCACGACGGGGGATGCAGTGGCCAGGGGGGGGGTTGTTTTGGCGGTGTCTCTCGACATCGCCAACGCCTTCAACTCCATGCCCTGGAGCTGCATTAGGGAGGCACTCCGGTATCACCGGGTGCCGACCTATCTCCGTCGTATAGTCGGGGACTATCTGACGGATAGGGCCGTCATTTACCCCGGTCGCAACGGTGAGTGGAACCGGCGAAAGATGTCGTGCGGTGTCCCACAAGGTTCGGTTCTGGGGCCGCCCCTGTGGAACATCGGTTACGACTGAGTGCTGCGCGCCGACCTCCCTACCGGCGTCAGCGTAGTTTGCTACGCAGACGACACGCTGGTACTGGCACAGGGGGGGTCGTACGAGGCGGCGGCGGAAAATATGACACGCGGGGTTGCGATAGTCGTTGAGAGGATCCGGCAGCTGGGTCTTGAGGTGGCTCTGCACAAGTCCGAGGCCATGCACTTCCATGGTCCTCGGAACAGGCCACCACCGGGATCCTCAGCGATGGTAGGAGGGGTATCCATCGGCGTCGAGTCGACGTTGAAGTACCTAGGACTCGTCCTCGACGGCCGATGGAACTTCGTTGAGCACTTCCGACGTTTGGCTCCCAAACTGGAACGGACCGGGGCTGCCTTCAGGCGGCTCCTGCCGAACCTGGGGGGGCCAAACGCCTCCTGCCGGAGGCTCTACGCGGGGATTGTGCGGTCCATGGCCCTTTACGGGGCCCCGGTGTGGGCGCGTGGTTTGGCGCGGCTTGCCGTTCACCACCTGAACGCGCCCCAAAAGGTGGTTGCCGTAAGAATGGCTCGCGGCTACCGCACGATCTCCCGCGAGGCAGCGTGCCTCCTTGCCGGATTGCCGCCATGGGATCTGGAGGCGATAGTCCTCGCGCGCCTACACGAATGGCGCGCGGAGGCACTATGCCGGGGGGAAACCCCGCTGCCGCGGCAAGTTATCGTTCAGCGGACAGACTTCCGGCATGATCTCATGACGGCATGGAGAGAGCGACTGTCGCAACCCCGTGCTGGGCACGCCACTATAGCGGCGATAAGACCCCTCTTTGAGGAGTGGCTTGAGAGACGCCACGGCGTCCTCACCTTCCGCCTGACGCAGGTCCTCACCGGACACGGTGTGTTCGGGAGGTTCCTGCACCGAATCGGGCGGGAGGAAACGCCCGGGTGCTCCCACTGCGAGGATCGACCGGAGGACACGGTGGAGCACACCGTGGAGGTGTGCCCTGCCTGGGCGGAGCACCGCCGTGTCCTCGTAGCGGCGATAGGCGGCGGCGACCTCTCGCGTCCGACCCTGGTCGAAGCCATGGTCCGGAGCGAGACGGAATGGGATGCCGTCACCACCTTCTGCGAAGCAGTGATGCTAGCGAAGGAGGTGGCGGAGCGGGAGAAGGAGAGAGCAGCAGCTTTCCTTCCCGGCCGCCGCGGGAGACGCCCCGGGCGTCGGGGGCTACGTCGTGGCCCCCGGCCACCGTAGGCGCGGGCCTGTGGACGGCGAGCAATGGGTAGCTCGCCGTCCGTCCGTCTAACGACGACAGGCCGTGTCGACGGCGCGTTTTGTTCCACGCGCGCCTCAAAGAGCTGTCAGCAGCGTGAAGGGGCCCGCAAGGGCCGACGCCTGCCGGGGCTGCGGGCTGTTCGAAAGAGATACCGCGGCTCCGGAACGTAAGGGCACTGAAGGAAAACGGATGGTTTTTAGTCAGTAAAAGTCTGACACTCCCTTCCGCTCCACCCAGAGCGAAAGGCGTCATTTGATGATTTTCCATCCAAAAAAGAAAAAAGGGCGCGGAACGCGAACTCGAAAGGTCGTGGGTTCGAATCCACCACCATTCGACTACTGTCGTGAACCACTTCTATATATATATAATATTCTACATTATTTGTAAAAATAATTACCAGTTACCACAACATATTAAAAGTGAAAAACTAGATGCATGAAATCCTAATTATATCTCTTATCTAAATACGCAATACGTCAATTACAATAATAGGTATAACAATAATTATATTCACTGAAAATTTCTTTTTTAAAAATTTAATATATAAAAAATTATGTTTGTTTGTTCATATTTTATGCGCTGACATACTGTTCATCAGATTACGGTAAAACTTTGTCAACTTACTGCTTGTACTTGCGCGAGGGTTATAGGCATCTTTCAATGACTGTATTATCATCGTTTCTAATTAAACAATATCTCTTCCAAATTTAAAACCACATTTTCACAATTATTTCTTCTGCGGCAGCAACGCGCCGGCCACCAGCCAGTTAAATATAAAATCTAAAGCTATAAATGTTACTACACATTATTCCAAGATATATTTCTTTATGTACCTAATTATTATGTATTATGTAACTGTATTATGGATAATTGCGAAAAACGTATCGAATATGGAAAAAGATCACAATCTTCGTTGTAATATCTTAGCGGATTCTGTTTTGTTTGAATTTCAACTTTAATGTAAACTATATTATTATGAAAGAGTGAAGAATAAGGGAGGGGGAGTAGGAGATATCAAAGCTGTGGTGAATAGTCTAAAGACTATATTTGGTAGTGATAATTTGCCGTGGTTTTAGTATGGTCTATTTAAATAGAAAACTGAAAGGGGTTATAACATTTTGTAATTCTAATAAAATTCGTTGATAAACTGTTCAGTGGGCAAAATTGTTTTAGTTTAAACTTAAATAACTTTACTTAAATAGGTCTGTAGTCTGTACCCTTCTTGTAGCGGCGGTGTAACAATATCCACTACCCCATATCGTCCCGTGGGTGTCGTAAGAGGCGACAGAGGGAGAATGAAACAGGAGATCGCCAGCAGCATCTTCCTGATAACAACTCAAAATAATAAAACTGTGGTTGCCAACCCGCTTGCCAAGCGTGGCAACTATAGCAAAATTCCCATATGAGGCAATCTACGAGGGAAGCCTATGTTCAGCAGTGGATTATTATAGGCTGTATTGGATTAGATTGGATGGGATATTTTTATATACACGCGAAGAAACTTGCGGACTCTTCATGATTAAAAGAAATCTATTAGCATATTCACTTTACTTTCTCTTACAGAACAACACACTTGATCTTTACATCTCGCACCAAAGAGGTCCGTTCTATAAAGCTGAATTTCAAACCGAGCTGGACAGAAGGAAGTTCTATATAGCTGATGTGACAGACAAACGTATTTTCATTTCTGTTATGCATACAGAAAATCTAGCAAATCTGTACGTGTCCGAAATAAGCAGCAATTTCACGCAGTACAACTTTGTGCTCAGCCTGGAACAGATTTTGTGCTACTTCCCACAAGGAAACTGGAAGGATAGCTGGCTCGAGTAAGTGTTTACTAAGATTGTGATGTTATAATATTTTGCTGAAATATCATTTGGTGTGTCTTTAACTTTATGCATATAATTTATCCAAAATTAAATATATATATTTTTTTATTCTACAATAATTTAAGGGACATTTACCGCTTAGCGTATGTCAGTCCCATCATACCCTAACATACATGACTTATATAACGTTAGTTAATACTTATTATACTACGTGGGCCACGGATTCGAGCAGAACTTTCGCATCGTCGCCATTTGGTTGGGATAGAATATTATGAAATGTGCCCACGTCAATTCTGTTCAAATTCTACTTCTTATGCAATTACTACTAATAGACTCAAATCGAACACATTCCATCAATATATGGTACAGGTCTTCTATAACTCCACAGTCTTCACAATTGGGCGAAGTTGTTTTTCTCATCAGAAATACAAATTTCTTACATGGAACGTGTCCAGATCTGAGTCTATGAGCAGTAGTAACTAATTTCCTACATATACTAGTATTCATGAACCAGGACACATGAAGAGGCTGACACTGTATGGTTTTGTACCATATTCCTTTTTCTAGTGTCCGCTTGTTAAAGTATTCCTTCCACATTTCATAACATATATTTTTGAATTTAGGTAAAACTTCTGAGTGATCCAAAATAATATTAGTTTCCTTTCCATTCTTAGCTGCATATTTCGCTAACATGTCAGCCTTTTCGTTGCCCCGTAACCCAATATGTGATGGGACCCATTGCAATCTCAGTTGGACGCCTTTTGAAGTTATGAAAATTAAATATTGTGACAACAAAGATCAATTGAGGTTCTATCTGTAGAAGGATAATATATAGTGTAGGTGTTATGAACCACTACTAACACTAGCATTAGCTTAAAGCTTACTAGGAAGGCTTAAAGGGTAAATTAGTTAACTTGTAAACGGCCGTAATAATGATGATGATGATGATTCTATACAAAACTCGCTTATGAATTATTTACATATTTAGAATTTTCATTTTCCGTTTGATTATTGTTTAATCATCTGGTTGCTCATTCGTTTGAGGTATGAGGTCAATAAAAGGTTAATTAATATAATAAACATCAAGATAATATTCGTCGTTTTCAAGAAATATCGTATTATGCCTATATTTTTAATATTTGTGTCATCATCATCATCATCATTACAGCCCTCCACAAGTCCACTGCTGAACATAGACCTCCCCCAAAGAATGCCACAAAGCACGGTTCTGAGCCACCTGCATCCATCGACTTCCTGCATATCTTACCAGGTCGTCACTCCATCTAGTGGGGGGACGCCCTACACTTCGCCTGCCGGTACGAGGCGCTTAATATTTGTGTGTAAGGTAACAAAAAAAATAGAACAAAGAACACGAACGAAAGGTTCGTATCCCCTAGTTTTAAATAAAAGTGTGATAGGAAGTAGGTATTGAAATAGGATTCCTTTTGTATAAATTTGGTTTTTACTCGTACAAAATTCAGTTATTCTCAACTAAAATTAAATTTAACTAAAAATCGCATTTCCGACATAAAACTATCTATTAAAAATTCTAATACACATTTTTTTCTTTTAGGGACGTAACAGAGGACGCGTTTACAGATTTGTACCGCGTGGAGGGGTTAAAGGGGATTTACATAGCGTCGAAAGTAAACGCTAAGTCGCTGGTTGCTAACATCGAACCAGAGCATTTGGTGTCGCTTATCACCTTCGACCATGGAGTCACGTGGTCTCCTATCAATCCTCCAGCAGAGGACGACAATGGTAATATAGAAACAATTTAAACTTTCCAATTTCCATTTATAAGTTCCTTAATTTCTAAAATATCAATACGCGAATTCTTATGTCAGTCAATAATACCAACAACCAATTAGCGACAGACAGACGAATGTATGATTGCTGCATTAAATTATACGATTATCCTGTTATCTATACAAATAAATAAAATTGAAGTCTGTTTGTAATGTCAAAACTACAGCTTTTTACTAAATGCAGAGGAAAGTATATATGGTACTAATATCAAAAATACAATTTTTAAAGTTTTCGTCTGTCTGTCTGTCTGTCCGTCCGTCTGTCTGTCTGTCTGTTTGTTCCGGCTAATCTCCGTAACGGCTGGACGGATTTTGACGGGATTTTCACTGTTAGATAGCTGATGTCACAAGGGGTAACTTAGGCTACTTATATTTTAGAAAAAGAATTAGGATTCCGCGCAAAAAAATTTAAATTCCAAATAACACACGGGCGAAGTCGCGGGGAGCAGCTAGTAAAGAATAAAAATTTAATATAAAATAGATATCAAGTGTGTGTGTGTGTGTGGGTGCGATGTTGAATTATACTTCTCATAAAAATTTATGTTTTACGAGTAAAACTATACGCATTGTAAATAAATATTTTATAAGTAAATAAATTAATGTTTGCAGTAAATGTAATACCTAGCAGTAACATTAAAGGTACACGAAATAAACGCATATGTAATAAAATTCTAACCACATTCTTTACCGAATTCCAAATAGATGTTTCGAATATTTTAGTATGAACTTTTTTCTGTGTATATAAGAGATATAGTTAAAAGATTTGCTTAATTCAGTATGAATCGAATAGAATAGAATAATTTTTTATTCAAATTTAAGAATTTCGTGAAATCATGACATTTATTGAAAGTCACTTTTTTACTTTACCACTAGTTCGGAAAAAACTTATGTGTTTGAGAAGTACCAGCAAGAAACCCAGCGGGACTTTTTTTAAAGTATATTATGCAATAAGATAGGTTGTACAAACTATTTACAAAATTTATTAATAATAATTATATTTTCTGGGTCTTTGTTGTACATTGCCTATACCTTTACCTGGGTCTTTGTTGTACATTGTCTATACATATATAGTTGCCTATATATTGCCCTAAGAATGAACTCTGCAGAGTCGAGAAACTGGTATCACTAGCTTATGGCGATGTAAGAGAATCCATCATCTTATTTCAGTATAACAGTCTAACAGTATGCCGTCTTTCATATTTGATCAGTAAAACTTTATTTTGCAAGGCAACTAGTCTTCTTACTTATATTTTCTACATCCACGAACACATACACACACACCCCACATCATACATACAACAACACTCCTACACTCACATTCACACAGTCCTTAATATACACATACTAATTACAAATTTTCAAGATGTTAAACTTTTTGTAATCCTTAAGGGAAGTAGCGGGTCATTCTCAACACAAGTATCCTCTGATTACTCACTGGGAAATCTCAGTAATATGTTGTTAACAAGATTACCGAAATAAATGTATTATTATCATTGAGTTATAATGTACTACGTACTAGAGAAGCTATTCCAAACAAAAAATGTGCGCTACTCTATGTCTTCGCGCATGCGCGGTAAATAGTAGAGTCGCGCATGCGCGGTTTTTGTCATCATAGATTATACGTAGGTAGAATGATCAGTATGTAATAAGTAATTGTTTATTTAGATTGTATTGTAAATTATATCGAGTACAATTTTTTTGTTATTTATTTTGCATTTATGTGTTAATTTAATATAATATAACAATATTATGACAGAATTACATATTAATGATATTTTATTTAATATTTTAAAAGGTAAATATGTAAAATATAAAAATATGAATTTATTTTCAAAGATCATTATTATTACTTTTCTAGAATTCTCTAAAATCAATGCGAATTTACGTTAAGCTGCATGCAGTATATTAGTAAATAATGCGTGCTCTGTTTATTCTTTTTCATTAAAGATTCACGTAACTCCACAACTTCTGCTTTAGCCATTAAATCAATCTCAGCATTTAGTTTGAGACCGAATTTATGTTTAAAATTTTGTCCATTTGATTTGTAAGAAGCGCATTTTTTCTTTAGATAAATATTTTGGCTTTGTATTTTCTTAAGTTTCTCAGTAAGTTTCTTTCTATTAAATACAAACACAATATTACAACGTGCTCATATTTTATTATTTTTATAATGACCTAGAATTATTGATTACGTTACTAAGGTAGAACTATATTTAAAAACTTAGGCTTCGTATACATCACTCAAATTAGGCTTAGGAGACATCATTTTTTACAATTTTGCTCGGACTATCAAAAATTGAATTTGAACTGCTTATTGATTCAGACAACGGTTCTGATACTTCCTGTTCACCACATTTTGTTGGCTGAAAAAAAAGATACGAATTATTTGGGAAGCCTATAAAACTTCTAGCGTTACAGTATTAAAAAACCGCCATATACTAGTGTGACTTGCCCGCCGAGGGTTCCACCTCTCTTAAGTGCCGTAAATATACTGAACATTACAAAAAAATCGTTTGTCGTCTCTTCAGAAAATAAAACTAAAATCCCAGCAATGTTATATAATAATATAATTACGTTATCGCGTGGTACTGCTGATATCCGAATTAAATTTAAATGATGTTTTTATTTGAATATTTTAAAAGGTAACTATATAAAATATGAAAAAAATACATAATTAATGTATTTGTAACAAAATTTATTGATATAATATATAATTTACAAATATATTTATTTAGATTAGTATAAGAGTCGTTCATAAATGCTGGGCACGCGAGAGTTAATAAAAATTGATGAATTTAGTCCATTTTTCCCTGTTTTCATGGCTTGGACGTGGAAACCTAAAAATAAAATAAAAGAATAATCATTTGTTTCTACAAAAAAAACAACATATTATACTATGCATAATTATTCTCAGACTTAAGTACCTACAGAAACGTCGCATCTTAACAAATTAATTTCATAATCTATATTTCTTTAATACCCGAGATGGCGTCTTTTGAATAATTTGTTTGATTAATTATTAATCTATAATACTTTTTTTATTAAGTATTTTACTCACCGATGAAAAGTTATTCCTTGGTATTTGCTAACATTTCTTGAATTATTTGTGCAATTTCTAAAACACACCATGGCGTATTTTATCAAGAATTTTTTATATAATCAACACAGCATGTGCCAACTCACTAGCGCCTAGCGAGCGACTGAGTAAAGTGCGGCAATATCACCGCAGTTGAATGGAACAGCGTAACATAATGCAGTGTCGCCTCTAGTACGTAGTACATAATAGCTCAATGATTATTATGGGGTATCTATAAAGTTTTCTCATTTGGTTGGGCGGTATAAATATATAATTGTTAGTGAACATGGTAAACATACATAAATATCAATAAAATAAATACTTAAAAATACATAAATATATAAAAAATATTATTATTATATTATTTCGTGTCGTGAGTGTGTTAAGAAGCGATTATCTGTCAGCTAAGCATAATGATTATAACAACTTCTTGCTATGCAAGCGATTCAAGTCCAGCAGTGGAGTTTACAGGCTGATAAAGAAGAAAAAATAATGCATAATTGACACCATATCTCGTCGCGTAGTGGCATATCATTCCGTAGGTGTCGTGAAAGGCAGAGGGAAACTGATGTAGCAGCATCTTCCTGGTTACAAACTCAAAATATTTAAAAAACTGCAGTTGCCAAACAGCTCTACAATCTTAGCAACTATGGCAAATATCACTATCTATGAGGAAATCTATGGAAGAGACCTATGTTCAGCAGTGTACTTTGGAAGGCTGTAATGATGAACATAATGATGATGACGATGAAAATTATACTTGATCTCAAACTATTGGACATCAGGAGAATTTTTTTATCGTTTTTTTATTTTTGTAACATCCAAATATAACTTCCCTGTGACAACTCTTTGCCTACTATGAAAATCCAAGTAGACTATAAGATGCTACGTAGTGGCTTATACCTTAGTCATTAATGAAAGTGTGCTTTGAAAACCTTTCAGTTGTTATTGGTAATGCTTGAAGGAATTGTGCATTACATTATTACTCTTATCTATAACGAGTTAACGCGTGCGATACGCCCCCATTGTACGTTGGGGAGTAATTGTTTGTCATTGTATGTAATGGCTTTGGCATTTTTACAACACGAAGTTTCTTCACCTAACCTTCATTTCTACTCTCTGTATTAAGGTCGTGTAGTTCTTTTGTGTTTTAGTCTAGTAATATTGACTAAAACACATTGAATTGACTATAAAATGATTGTTTATTGGTAACGAACTTTTAGAACTTTAGCGCGACTGCTGATCATGTGATTCCGGGTACGAATCCCGGGTCGCGACAAAATCAGTTTTTGGGTTTTGTGTTTCTTTTTTCTTTTTCTGTCAAGTAATTTTCAGTGGCTGCCCACAGTCAGGAAGTTGGCGGTGTTTTACTCCCTTGAAAAGCACGTAAAAGCAGTTGGGGTCTGCGCCTGATCCTTCCCCCGTCGTGTCGGTTTGCCGTTCTACCGTATCAGATTATTATAGTTAGGGAATAAAGTGTGCATATAAACTCGTACATTACAATTCTGTCCTGCGTAAATGACTTGTCCCTGTTAAGACCGGCCGTTGTGACCGAAATTCGGCCTCGAGGACATTATTCCAATGAACATAGCACAAACGATACGTTTGGACGGCAGTTAAATTCACAAATACCCTACAGGTGATCTGATGATTGGTTATGAACCAACTCAGTATTATCATCATCATCATCGTCCTGAGTCAGATGAAGGTGTACAGAGGCTACTCTTTTTTAAAAGGCCGACCAGCAATTCCCCTGATGTTGCGGTTGGCGGCGGTAGTCACCACCAGGTGAGCCGCATGCTCGGTTGCCTAGGCATATCTCAAACGTGTAAATCGCGATGCATTTTTACGTATCTTGTTTATAATTGATATTTCATCATTTATTTTATTATTTTAAGCTAACCTCTTTTAACCTAGCATACTTACTACCTGCGTACAGTTTTATTAAATAAGGTTAGGAAGTGGTTGCCTTTGTTTTTGCACATTGCTGCACTATTATTTCTTCGGCGCCGTTACTAACTTCCAATAAACAAATTCGGAAGCTGTCACCATCGACATCAACATTTATATAACTCTAGGGTAGTGGAAGATTCGTTGGTAAGTGACTACTGCACCCTATTGAAATGTCATCATCAGCATCATTATCATTACAGCCCTTCATATGTAAGTCCAATGCTGATCATAGGCCTCCCTCAAGGAATGCCACAAAACACGGTCCTGAGCCATGTACATCAAACGCCTGCCTGCATATTTTACCTGACCCTAATATACACATTTGTTGACACTTCAAAACTATAAAATCTGAATAAAAGAATAGGTGCACTACTGTAAAGCGATAGAGATAGAAAAGGATGGTAAATGAGAGACAGAGAGAGAGACGTTGGCGAAAAATTAATCACCTTGTAATGATACATTTCTACTGTTAAATTTTAAAAATTGGTTAAGCTATATTTTATTTGTTTTTTTTTACAGGAAAACCTCTGAGTTGCTTCGATCCGAACGATAGTGAAAAATCTTGCAGTTTGCATTTGTGCCAGAAGTTTAGCCAGCTCTATCCGGTCACGAGGTAAGTGCATTATGGCGACGCATATGGTACCATTTCATCCAACACTTGTTAGGTCTTGCTATTTAAACTTTTGCCACTTCAGTAGTAGCGTGACGGTTTTAACATTCGTTTTAAGATTTGTTAAATTATTTTTACTATTTTGGTTAATGTCAGAAATGGCAAACAAACGTCGCATTATAACGCTTAAATTATTATTACATTAACCTGATTGTAGCGTAAATTGTAATTCAGATTTGTTTTAAATATGGGTATTATAAATAGCTTACCTAAGCATTTAATATTTATTACAAATAATTGTCTATTGCACAAATACTCAAATGCTGCTCAATTTTGCCGTGCTGTGTAGTGGCGGTGTAAGAATATCCACTATCTCATATCCCGTGGGTGTCGTACGAGGCGACAGAGAGGCAACCAATCAGCCGATGGGCAGCACAGCGTCTTCCTAATAACGACTAAAAATAAAAATAAAAACATGCGTGATTGTCGTGGAACACTCGGTTGGAACGAAGTTCTTTGCGTAGTATATATTATTATTGATAAACGTATTATATTATTCATTAAAAAATACAAAATAATTAATTATTAACATCTATTAAAATGAAGCGTCATATAAAATAAAATAATATTTCTTTCATGGCAAGATAAGAAAAAGTGCGAGGGAGATGGATATTATTCCATTTCGCTTCCTTATAGCCGCCAAGGCCGTCTGCACTACGTCAGAAGGTGTAAAGGAAAAATCTTACACTTTTTGTCACCTAGCCCCAGTCCGCCAAATCCGTACCGTCCGATAAAGAACTTCGTGCCAAAACTGCGGTTTCCAACCGGCTTGCCAAGCGATGCAACTATGACAAATATCCCACTTATGAGGCAATCTATGGGGGATGCCTATGTTCAACAGTGGACTTTAATAGGCTGTAACGTTTACGGCTCAATTTTAAGATGCTATCAATTCTCGTGCTGTCTCTATCACTTTAAGTCAAAGTGACTGTGACACCACGCGACTTAACGGAATCTTAAAATTGAGTAGCGTTTGACTATTTGGCCATAAATCGCTTATTTGTGTAGCGAATTACATTAATAATTTCGATTATCGTAGAAAGATAGCGATAACATGGTAATTCTGCTAAAGTACATATTTTTAAGATATGAAACTTAAAGAAAAATACTCATATTTAAAATACTATATTATAAAATGGTAGACGAGAAGTGTAGTTTTTTCTTTTGCACTACTACAGCTGTGTTTTTTTGTTTCTATTTTTGCATCCCAATTCGCAATGTTGTGAAATTCGTCAAAATGCCAAAAATCCTTGTGTTTACCGTGAAATAGCGGAATGAGCATCTCACCTAAAATACAGGGTCAGTGAATGGAAGGTCGAGACTTGTGATTCTTCTTTTAATGTTCAGAAATATGCATTTAAATTAAGTTATATGAATATACAGAAAATTGATAAAAATTGTATTAAGGTCATCCTAAATATTCCAGACGTTAGGAGCATTTAGTATCGATTAGAACAATTTTAACAGTTAATATGACTAATAGAATAGGTATATAATGAATAGATGGGAGATAAAATATATTATTATTATAGTTGTGATGGAGGCGGTCAACGAACTCGTCTTATTTACACTGTATAGTAGTAATTCAATTCTTACAAAGCAATGTTATCGCCTTGAACTTGACATGATATGTATAATATACATATCAATTTATTGACTTTCCGTTTAAAATATTCCTCGTTGAAATACTTTAAATAATTAGTTACTGATAGGGTTGTACTTAGAATTTGTATAGCTTTAAATCAACAATGATCGCTATTTGTACAAAAGCGCTAATGATCTGTATCATTTTTACTCGACTGCCCCTGAAGGAGGGTTCTTCGTTCTTCGAGTGTATGTATACTTATATGTATGTATATACAAATACATTCACTCAAAAAACATTCCCTCCTTATATGTGCATGTGTATATATGAAAGTATGCATGTATGTATATAATGTGTACGTACGTCTAGTTCTTTGGAATGTTCTGTAGCTTATAAAGACCAACAGACCGAATTTCGGTCACGACGGGCAGTGTCAACGGAGACTATCCATATGCGTACGACAGGATAATACTGATGATAGTGCCCAAGTGTATGCGCAAGCACAGGTGCACTCTCTATTCTCTCACTCTCATAGTCCGATGGGACGGTAATCGGACACGACGGGAGAGACCAGGAGCAGGACCAACGGCTTTACTAGCCTTGCCATCTCCAAAACCCAGCTCCACATCCGGGACTTTGGTATATTACGCGGGACACAACACACCACATAAAAATTGGTTAAATAAACACTATAATATATTTTTTAATAATTTAATTTAAAAAAAAAAACAATACAAATGTTTTACAAACATTAAACACTACCACCCGCCCTCACAGTGAACGAACACCGATAGCTCCTCACGCGAAATACTCAATACGTATTAGGAAATTTTAATAATGTGTCATAAATTAGTGTAGTTGGTACGAGATAGATACTAATCATCATATTATATAATTACTGATTTCCGGGACAAAAGGCGTCCCGCAAGGGGTCACGGCGGGACGGCCCAAAATTGACCCAGAAGCGGGGCTTTCCCGAAAATCCGGGACGGTTGGCAAGCCTAGGCTTTACGTACTTTCTGAAAGCACGTAAATCAACTTCCTGACTCCGGGCTGCTGCTGAAGTAATTTTTTGACAGAAAAACCCAATAACTGATTTTATGGCCCGAACCGGGTTTTGAACCAGGGACCTCATGATCAGGGACCGCGTTTTACGACCACTAGACCAATGAGGCAGACTGTAGCCTAAACGGCTCGATGGCTGCCTTTGTGTTGTTGAATTTTTATATAGGTAAGAGTGACAAACGGGTATACAGTTCACTTACCACTACAGACACATATCTATCATCTATTAAGAATCAAAATGCAGAAACAGAAACTTTTTTTTATTCAATATAGATTATAAATAATACTTATTTAAAGTCACTCTTTTGTTAATTGCCACTGGTTACATTGTCACCCCTAAAGACAGCCTCGATGGAATGCTTCGTTACAAATAAAATAGACTGTTTTACGTCACTCACCGTACGTAACACAGCAGCATTATGCTACTCTTACACGCTGGTATTCTGCGCTAGCGTAGTCCTTCCCAGGTCTATCCGAACCATTCATGTTGCAACAATAATACACTGTTGCAAGGCTATCATCTAAAAGGGTGACGAATTGTCATATGCTGCTACCACACAAGAAGTACTTTCTTTCTTACATTATATATTTATTTACAGCGCGCCTGGAAATGTGTTAAGCAATGCAATGAGGTAAACTTAGTATAGCGGAGAATGTGTCATGGAATTATAACATTTTGCTTGTAAATTAATTTGCACAATGCACGGTGTTAATTCATCTCGGGTTCGATTCATATTTCATTATGCTCGATGGGTGGGATTTACAGTTTATACAGATTGCCGTATTGAATGGGGTGGGGTTGTGACATAAACATAGTTTGCATTATTTTGTGGTTACTTCATGTATTTAGATTTTAGAATCGTTAGATTGAAAGTTTCATCCTGTCGACATTTGATTTCATGTTTTCGTATGTTTAATGTATGATAGAGTTGTTGCTAGTTAGTAAACCGACCCCCTTTTGTTGTCAATTATAAATTAATTTCAGGTCAGCGAGTATAATGAGCTCTAAATCGGCTCCTGGTATTATAATGGCAACGGGTGTGGTTGGACGTTCGTTGAAAGGAATCCCAGGTGTATATTTAAGCCGCGACGCAGGTCTCACCTGGAAGCGAATTCTTAAGGACTATTACTTTTTCAATTATGGAGATCACGGTGGCGTGTTGGTTGCTGTGAAATATTTTAAACTACTCGGTGAAACAAGAGAGATACTCTATTCCACAAACGAGGGGATCGAATGGAACTCTTACCAGTAAGTACGATTCTGTAAATTTAAACATGAACAAATTGCAGAGTACTCTTTTTTTATAAAATGATATCTATATTTATAAATTGGTATATTTTAGAGTTAAAACTGCTTTTAACTGCAGCCTTTATTAAAAACTAGTTTAGACTGGATTTTTGTTACCGGTCAAGTATGGATGGCAATAAACATTTTGTAAAATATCAAAAACTTTTTACTGAATCGTAGGCAAAAGTAACTTTTAAGTCAAAAACTATATTAATCAATTTTTTTTTCAGTTAAAAGTACTCTTGGCCAAGCTCTGTCAGAAATACTACTGATAGTTTTCGTAAAAGAAGTTTTGAACGTCAAAGAGCTTTGACAGTTTAAGTTTAAATATATAAATAATGATATACCATTATTGCAGGTTTTGAAAATATGAGTTAATAAGGCTTCTTCTACTTTTATTTGAAATTATCCCAAATTGAATGTGATTTATGGGCAACAACTACGCGTAAAATGGAATAGAATAGAATACGTCATTTATTGTGCTAGTTGTAGGTTTTAGAGATTTAAAATTATACTAGTAATTAAGTATCACCGCAACCTCCCTAGATTAAGGCTTACAATATTACGCGTACGCGCGTTCCTCTGTGTGCGATTCAATTCACAATGTTATTGCCGACCGAGCGACCTTTACAAATGTGTGCGTGCGTAGTAAAATAGTAGGCGTTAGATATGTATGCATTACCACGCATTCTGAATTTAAAAAATAAAAAGGACAAAATATTTGAGGGTTTTTTAAAATTAATTTTTCGCCACCATTCGCCTATATTACTCTCCTATGTAGGAAAAGAGTCCTACCACCTAGGTATTCTAAGTATTAAAATGAAATATAATTCTATATGCTATTTGTACATACAACAAGCTTTGCTGTTATACCAATTCTATTATTTGCTAATGAATATTGTATTTGTTATAGATTTAATGAAGACGATCTTCGCATTTATGGACTAATGACAGAGCCAGGGGAAAATACAACTGTGTTTACAATGTTCGGTTCGGCAAATGAACAACATCAGTGGATAATTATAACTATTGATTTGCAAAACGCTTTCCCTCGCAATTGTACGCCCGATGATTACAAATTCTGGTCACCTTCTCCGCCCTACTCGTCTGTATCATGTGTGTTAGGCAGAAGGGATATTTTCCAACGTCGTCTAGCCCACACAAATTGCTACAATGGCATTGATTATGACGGACCCATTAAGAAAGAAGTGTGTGAGTGTAGTAGGAGAGATTTTGAATGCGACTTTGGATTCGTATTGTCGCATAACATTTGCGAACGTAACAAAACCTCCAAATACGATCCGTATGCCATCCCATCGAATTGTCGTCCAGGTCATTTCTATAAACGTACTAAAGGCTATAGAAAGATTGATGGAGATGTGTGCACAACCTCTGGATATCTTCCCTACGTCCCAGATATGATACCTTGTCCACTAGAAGAACCAACGGAATTCCTCTTAGTTGCTTTAAGAGATAAAATAGCTCGCATTGATTTGTCCGACAATTCGACCATATTCCCAATAAAGGACCAACAAAACATCGTTGCTATTGAATTTGACATGAAAAATAATTGTATTTACTGGGCCGACATTGAAGTGGATAAAATCAGTCGACAGTGTTTTGACTCCGGATTTACTCAGGAAGTTGTTGTTGATACCGACCTAGCTAGTATAGAAGGCATGGCTCTGGATTGGATTTCAAACGTTTTGTTCTTTGTCGATGGTATGAGGAAAAAAATCGAAGCCGTAAGGACTGATTTGAACAGCGAGGGTAGAATGCGAGTAACAATCTTAGACTCTAATGTACTATCTAAACCTAGAGGCATAGCTGTTCACCCTAGGGCAGGTTATTTGTTCTGGACTGACTGGGACAGAAATGATCCTTCCGTTTCCCGTTCGAACCTTGATGGAACAGAAATTAAGCGGCTGTTCGGAAAACCAATTGTACAATGGCCTAATGGTATAACGATAGATCAAATGTCTGAAAGAATATATTGGGTGGATGCTATGGAGGATTACATTGCTAGTGCTAATTTGAATGGACAGTACTTTAAGAAAATCTTGTGGAACGATGAGAAAGTCTCTCATCCGTTTGCGGTTGCAGTGTTAAAGGACAAGATGTACTGGGACGATTGGAAGGCCAAATCTATTTTCATAGCGGATAAAGACAATGGTCAGGATGTTATCACAATTAACGGCTCCTTCTCTGGCTTAATGGGTCTGAAGGTGTTTGCACATTTCATTCAACACGGAAGTAATGCGTGTTCTTTGAAAAACACCAGTTGTGATGCTTTATGTTTGGGTGGCCCTCGCAACACCTTCAGTTGTTTATGCCCTGATGGCTTTGTGAAAAATAATGGAAAATGTATGTGCCCAAATTTTGTCGAACCGTATGCCAATTTTACATGTCCCAAAAAACCGGGTGCTACTTGCGCTGCTGTAAGTATATTGAGCATATATAATACATATATAATATCTTTATAGTACATTCATTAATATAACATTAAATGTAATATATTTTACTTGATATATGGAATTAAACTCAGAAATTTAGTACTTGTAAATAGGGTTTTTAGGGAGATGGTCATCTTATTCCCAAATGCCAACTAAACCTGCACGCCTTACTTTCTGCTGGTCGACGGACGAGATTATAGCGATGTAGGAATATCTATTTGAAAATTTCGAAATCATAATTTGCAGATTGGTCATTTGTAGACGCATTTACAGAACAAGAGCGTCGCCTCGCCCTATGTTTATCAACTTGTTTGCCCAATGTTGTGAGTATGGGCAAATCTTTCAAACCTCGCAAAAAATCTAGAATCATATTACTATGTTATCTGAACCTAGATAACATAGTAATATGATTCTATTCTTTTCCTCTTTTCATTGTAAATCTTTTTTAATCCACTATGGCCTTTGCGAAGGAGCATACCGCCGTTTGTCGGTTGCCAGTCTTATACTTACCGTTCCAGCCTATTAAAGTCCACTGCCAAACATAGGCCTCCCCAATAGATTGCCTCATAGAAGGGATATTTGTTATAGAATACTATAATACATATATGATATGAACCATAGAATGGTTGCCAACCTTATTTTGTACAAGAACCGGTGTCGCCGGGAGCACACATACAAACGATTACGTCGTATTATCACCACTAGAGACCCAATTCACTCATTGGTAATACAAATTCCAATAAATAAATTTTTACAAACGCATTTTATATTACATAAAATCAAACTTTATTCCAAGGCAATAACAACGGATACACAAAAGAAAGAGATTCTAAAAAGAAAGAGAAGTAATAACTGTGTTGACAGACTGGGCAAATTTGCACATTGTAGACGATGTTCACGATCATCAAACCAAAAAAGAAATCGTTTAAATTTTAAAACGTTTATTTGCAAATAGTGTGCAAACTAATTGCAAATGGTGGTATTATTTTTTTTTGTTATTGTAAATAAAAAGTTGTTGAAACGTATAAGATGCGTAGCATCATATTAGTGCTTGCTGTGCGTTTAAGAAAACTAGTATATAATTATATCACAGCTAGGGACGTAGTCATGTTAAAACATAATCCGCTCCTAATATTCTCCTAATCCTAATATTTCCCGGTTTACCGGGAAATATTGTCGCTTCACCAGTAAAATTTTGTTACATCCGTAGTACTTTTGTTTTACATATCAATATTTGTTTATTTTTGTTTCTAAAATTCACAAAATATAAATATTTTCGACTTACTGGTGAAAGTCAACACAAAATTATTGCACAAATTTTTGAAATAAATTGCACCCAGCTACGATTGCCACAAAAGTTGGGTAACGACTGTAACGTCAAAAGAGTTGTGTTGAATTTTATAGGACAGGTGTGATTGACATGTTAGTGGCTACACGGGCACCCCTCACTCCCCCGTTCTATTGTGTATGTGTTATGGTGGCACTTCACATGGCTATTTGTATTTGCGTATTTGAGGTACTTGACAAATAACTTCCATGTGTGGAGAGTATATTTGCCATAATTATGGCCGTATTTGCCTATTTGCCAAATATAGGCAATAACAAATACGGCTTACCGATTGTCTGTCGGTTTTTCAAGACTCATCAAAGGAGACAAATAGGCAAATACGCAAATATACTGGCCACACATGGTCGGGCTCATAAGCGCGCGAACTGTCAACCAGTACGGACGGACCTGTTTATAACCTCTTAATAAGTAATTATTTAGGTACCTACGGCAAATGAATTAGAACAAAGAAACCGTTGTAAGGTTTCTAGAACTTTACTAAATGAATGTATTTGGGACCCCGGAAACGAGTGGCATAAAAATCGGCAACGAGATAACGACGCGTGAAATACCATTAAAGACAATTTGGGGCTACCATGTACCCTGCAAGTCAAAAAGGAGTCGCTTATGTTTATAGAATAGAATAATTTTTTATTTAATATAGATCACATGTGTAATTCTTATTGAAAGTCATTGTTTACTTTATCACTGGTTCGAAAAAAAACCTCTGTCCTGGGAAGAACCAGCAAAAAACCCAGCGGGACTTTTTTTTTAAAGCGAATTTTATATTAATGGTTGTAAACTAAATAAGTACAAAATTTATTTTAGAAACAGCTTGGTAGCGACCACCTCATTCCCAGGGGTTATTATCAACCATGTATTCATTTATACTATAATAACCCTTTTTGTACAGTTTCAACTTAACATCTGCGTATCGAGGTTACAAAACCAAAATAAAGAAAAGCGAACGATCCGGATCAGGTGCAGCCGATGTGTACCAACCAAGTTGGTTTGCATTTGCATAATTACGGATAGTTAGATTTTTATGCACAGTCAGCATCCACCATCGCCTTGCTATTGGTCGTTTTTTCATCACTGTATTTTTATTTTTTTATACGCATAACATATAATAGTAACATGCGTTCAAATAATAAAATTCAGCTGCGAGTGTAACGTCCATTTTGTAGGTACAACTACTTTCTGCTAGCAAACATGTTTAATTTTTTGGTATTTGGCTCCATGTGTGGACGGTTGTATCGTTTATTTGCCCGTACTTCAAATTTTTTGCCAAATACGGCAACATGCAATCACAAATACAAATAGCCATGTGAAGTGCCACCATTATAGTATTCTATGATATTTGCCATAGTTGTCACGCATAGCAAACAGGTTGGCATCCGCAGTTTGTTTTTTATTTTTAGTAAGACGCTGCTGCCCATCTCCTGATTTGTTTCCCTCTGTCGCCTCTTACGACACTCACGGGATGATATGGGGTAGTGGTTGTTCTTATACCGCCACTACACGGCGCTCAGAGCACACTGCACGTCCCTTTTGCTTCATTTGAAAAACCGACAAATCACGGATCTCTCCGCGCTCGACTTGAAATGGTCGTAGCGTGCGTATGAAATGCACAGTTCGCGCGCGCAAGGCAGTGCATAATAGGCGTGTGTATCTCTTTACGGAACCGACTCACTGATCCAAATCACTGAAGTGATTCAAAAGATTGGTTCAGTAACAACGTTTCAAATGCATCATTTGTATCTGGAACAGTGAAACATTACTTTGCTCTGTGCTCATTTCGCGCGACGCTTCGCTTGTCAGGCGACTGAGCCACGAGCGAGAGAGACAGACTGAGACAATAATTAATTTAACTATTGACTTGCGAGTCGCGAGTGAGCGGGCGATATAATTATAATCCATACAAGTCAGATAGAGATAACAATAAGAAGTGTATCACTCAATTCGTACGGATTTTCGCTGTCGTTATTCATGCACGTAAAAATTACCACAAAGGCGCTTACGTGTCAAATACTATACGGTCGTTTTTTGTATGTAATGTTTGCATTAACAAGTTGTCATTTTACGTTGATGCGGCACTTGTCAAATTGTTTATGTTTATTAGCGCCTGTTTACGAAAACATACTGAGTTCTGTTTAGGATTTCTTTGCTTAATGATTATTGTGACTTACTTTCTTCCTTTTCATCATAAAGTTAGAGTTTTGAGACTTTACGAGAAAATTCCGTGTACACAGATATTGTTGTTTTGTGTAAATGGACATTTTTGTAAATAATGAATTGACATAGTGACATTTTTGTTAAAGTATTCATACTTATAGACTACGAGAATCGATTTTATACACAATATTATTACGGTACACAATAAATAACCTAAGCACTTATATTATTCAGAATTATTGCCACATAACATTTCACTGATCACTGATAATGTATTCGGAACATTTCAGTGATCGAGATGCAAATGTTCCAATCGCAAAAATGGTACACTTTGCCCACCTCCATTGCATAATACATTACACTAATGTGAACGGCAAATTCTTTCATTTCATGTTACATTCTATGTTACGTTGCGTAAGTCTATACTCGGCATAACATATACTAGGTCCGAACACTGCCATCTATCGGCGACCTTGAGAATTTCTGAACATTTTCCATAGATGTCTCATATTCTACCCCACCCACGAGATGGATGATGGATTACATTCGACGATGTTGTGTAATCCACGTATGTGTCGTTTGTTCTGTTCGAATCTGTTCTGTTCTGTCGAAGTCTATTATTACCATGTCGTTTTGCTAACAGGATCAGTTTTCGTGCAAAAACGACATGTGCATAGCTTCATCGTGGAGATGCGACGGTAACGACGATTGCGGTGATGGCTCCGACGAAGCAGATTGCTCATGTACTCCGCCGAGGGTAGCTTGCGATGACGGCAGCTGTTACCTACCACAATGGCGATGCGACGGCGATTTCGATTGTGCTGACAGGAGCGACGAGAAAGGTAATGATCTAAAGATATGCAGTAGTCCTGGTTACGGTGACGACCATGGCAACGGCGAATATCACTATAATAGGTAGCAGGCCTCGGATATAACTAACTAACTCTTATCATTAGTCGTACGGAAAATATTCAAATTGGAGACGGGTATTAACATGTGAGTATGAAGCGCTTAGAGTGCGATATACTGCATTTTATGATTTTGACTATTGCACACAAAGTAAGAGACCATAGTTAAAAATAATCTGCCTCTTCAAATTTATCTCTATATTTCCATAAAAATTACTTTTTGATTTAAGCTGTGTATTTTTATTTATTTTAGACTGTGGCAAACATAACTGCACTGAAAGTGAGTTCCAATGTAATAATGGAAATTGTGTCGATAAAAGGTGGTTATGTGACGGAGACAATGATTGCAAGGATGGCTCTGATGAGAGCAATTGCACGGTAACTATAATAATTAATTATAACCATTTTTATGAATTATGTTTTCATAGTGGTGGTGTAATAATCTTCTAATTTTAAGATGTTAAATACTCACGGCCTCTTATAATCGTTTACTATCGCTTATTTAACGTATGTATTAATTATCTCTCTACCTGAGACGGAGCAACTTAAGCAGTTCTAAAGTTTATGTCGATTTTTGTAAGCATGACCATGAGACGTCCCGTCAACGATCAGGGTATTTAAAGAAGGTTGTCAATTCGCTTACTAAGCATTATAATTTAGGAAAATCCTCTCCCCTACTATTACTACTGGGAGAAAAGTCAGTTTTGTTTTGGAAATGCCCTATTTGTAAGAATATTTGAACGTCACTGACATACGAAATATTAAAAAAAAAAAACATGTTGTTTTCTCTTTCTAGGTTATAGTTAGAAGGCCAAATATACTGAATTGTTCAGCGAATGGTTTTTCATGTGGCAACGATAATAACGGCCTCTGCATCCCTAATTCGTGGGTGTGCGACGGCGAAACCGATTGTCCTGGAGGTGAGGATGAGAAGGCCGAACGATGTAAGAACTCCACCTGTGCGCCGTACATGTTCAGATGTCCGAGTGGAAAATGCATATTTAAGACTTGGGTGAGCATTTAGATGCAATACTTTAATGAAAATGTAATTACTTTTTGAAAATGTTGGTGGAATCCCTTGTGTTAGATTTTTTACATGACAACTTTTTCCATAAATACAGAAACAGATGAAAAAAATAATACAAATGAACTTATTTAGTAATGTAATGATGGCGGTAAAGAATTGATATCTCCATTTCTAAGGGAAATTTTAGAAAGATCTTATGGCTATTGATAGGTCGCGGTGAACCATCTCTTTTGAACTTGAGATGAAATACCCAGATCTGCCACTGAGAGCAGCGTCAAGTTTTCTAATATTATGATCCCCAGTTTGCCTGCTAGCTGCGTCAATTTCAGCAAATTCTTCCTACCGTACCTATATATATGCAGTAATGGACTTTTAGGGTGTTAATAAAAAAGATATTAATATATATATATATATTTTCTAGGTAACTTTTTTTAGAGGGACTCCTTTATTGCCTAAGAGTCCCTCTGAATGTTATTACCACCTTTGCATTGCTGCGTTTAGGTTTGAGGGGTAAAGATAGCCATTATAATTACAGGCTATGAGGCATTCGCCCAGGGAAGTGACAACATATCTTAAGCTTTCTTTGTTTGAAGTCTGCTGCAGGTGTCCATGCACTGCATACCATCAGGTGGACGTTGGTGGAAGTTAGTGTGTCACTTTATTTTATAAAAAAAATTACTTAGGTATGCGACGGAGAACATGACTGCAGCGACGTAGAAGCATCAGACGAAAAAAATTGTACCTACATCGGCCACTCTAAACTGATCCCTCGCCCGACAACTGAGAAGCCGTTCGACTTCCCGACCAATAGTTCGTGTTTAGACTGGATGATGAAATGTGACAATGGAAACTGTATGCCGTATTGGTGGCGTTGTGACGGCATTGACGACTGCGGAGACAATTCCGACGAGATCGCCTGTGGTGTGCCTTCCTTCGAACCTAAACATACAAATCGGCACGACAGTGTAAGACAGAAATGTGGAAAGAATAGATTCACATGTGCTCCTGGTGAGTATTTTATGTAATACATTTTAAAATGGTAGCAAATAAATATAAAAACTTGGATCAAAAGTATTTTATTAAAGGAATGTTTGTTACTCTTCCACCTTACATTAGAATACAATAGACTGGAATAATTTTTATTCAATATTGATTAGAAGTAATTCTCATTGAAAGTCATTTTTTTACTTTACCACTGGTTCGAAAAAAATCCTCTATCCTGGGAAAAACCAGCAAGAAACCCAGCGCGACTTTTTTTTAAATAAATTTTAAAATACTTTACATATTGCTGGTGATTTTGATAAATTATAGAATAGGATACTTTTTATTCAACAAACATTACAAGAATAAAACCTCTGTCCCGAAAAGAAGCGCAGCGGGACTTATTTTAAAACATTTTGTGATTTTGTGTTTCGGGTGGTCGGTTCTTCGATCTATATGGCCGGACCATTGCCACTTCAGGTTACAAATCCGTTGGGCTATGTCAGTTACTCTGGTTTTACTGCGGACATGCTCATTTTTAAGTCTATCACGCAGATAAACCCCAAGCAATACCCCTGTCAATAGCTAAGCAACCTTAAGCTTCCTCACACGGCCAGCAGTGGAGGACCATGTCTGGGATCCATAAGTCATCACTAGCAACACGCACTGGTTGCACAATCTTGTTTTGAAGTTTTGAGGTATACCTGACGAAAAGATGTGTCGTAGTTTCCCGAACGCTGCCCAGTCGAGTTGAATCCGTCAATTGTCCTCTCGGTCGAAGTTGGACTTACTTAGTCGGACTATTTGTCCCAGGTAAACATACCCGTCAACAACTTCGAGCTGTCATAATCTCCCGAACGTTGTCGACTGAGTTGACGTTTCGTTCTAGTTGAACTTACCAAGTCAACCTATTTGTCCAACAACTTCGAGCTAAACACAAAAAAAGCATCTACCGGCATATGTATGTCATGGACGTTACACATGACTTTTGTTTTGTTCATGTTCATCATAAAATCTATCCGTTGGGAGACACTACCGTGGATCATTGATCATAGTTCTTAAGTGCGACCCTAACGATTCTGCTATAAGGACTATATCGTCGACAAATCGAAGGTGAGTGATGTACTCGCCATTGATATTAATACCGTATCCTTTCCAGGCCAGTAGCTGGAAAACGTCTTCTAATACAGCGATGAAGAGTTTCGGGGATGTAACGTCACCCTGTCTTACACCTCTCTGCAGTTGGATAGGTTTCGTACTCTGGTTCTATACTTGGACAGCCATCGTAGCCCTACTGTACTTCGCACTTCGATATACTAACAGTCAATTTGGCACCGCTGAAGCGACTGTAGCACCGCCCAAATTTCAACGAAATCAATGGCTTTTTCATCGTCCACATACCTAAGACAAAGTGGCAGATTGTATTCCTCGGTCTTCTGTACAATTTGCCGAAGGATATGTATGTGGTCTATGGTCCTGAAGCCTTTTCGGAAACCAGCTTTTCTAGTATGCACGCGAGACTTAACGACGATACGACTTTCGAAAACTGCACGTGTAGACGTGGCTCAGAAGGTAAATCAGTCGGTAGTTCTTCAACAACGCGTTGTCGCCTTTCTGAATAACAGTACAACCGTACTTCTGCTACACGCCTCCAGAGTACAACCACGGAGGACGGAATTAAAGAACTTCTGAAGAACTTCAAATAAAAGTTTTGCACCCACTTTCAGAAGCTCCGCTGTAATTGCATCCTCGTCAGGGGCCTTGTCGTTTTTAGGTGCTGGAGAGCCATTATAATCTCGCTCAGAATGACGTCCGGGATATCATCGCAATAGTGTCCAAGAGCAAGTCTTATACTTGCTCTTGGATCGTTACTCACACTTGCATGTGGCTCCAAACAATAACTTGTACAGCTGTCCATAGAACTTCTTAACCTCACTCAAAATCACAGGCGTCCCGGAAACGATGCCACCATATTCGGTCTTCAGCTTCGACAGTTGGTTCTTTACAGGCACGCAGATCTCTGGCAAAGACTGAAGCCTTGGTTCTGCTCGATCGTTTCTTCAATACAAGCTGTACTGTAAGTCCCGCCGCATGCATTTGGAGATCTCTCTGTTCAGTTTCCTGTATACTGTCATATTTCCTGACGACTGTAGCTTCATTTCCCGTCAAACAGCCATGAGATTAAAAGTATCGGAGAGTTTTTGAGTTCTTCTGCGAGGGGTCTTGCAGAACTTAGCTCCGACCGCATGGACCAATTTCCACGAGCTTGTCATTCATATCATCCACTGTATTCTAACAGTTTTCTAGGTACTAAAAACGATTTTGTAACTGAAGCTGAATGTTTCGGGGCTTTGGATTAGAGCACGAGTGGGACGGAGCGTTGACTTCGTTAGACGTGACCCTTCCAACTTAACATTTAGGTGCAGTTTGCCTCTCACCATTTGGTTATCGTTGCCAGTTTTCATCCTCGCGATCTCAGAGACATCACTGAACAGTTGCGATCTAGTCGTCATAATGAAGTCAATCTAATTTTTTGCTGAACCGCTCGACTAGATCTACTTTCTGTGGGGCCGCTTCTGAAAGAAAGATACATAGTCCCTCTTTCTCCATGAAGTTGGCCAGCTGCTGGCCCCTTGGGTTCCATTGCCCTATTCCAAATTTCCCGTTCTTCAAACCTTTGGCAAGCTGTTCTCACTTGTGCCTAGTTTTGAAGTCTCAAATTAACAGTTTTTAATGGGTTTTGAAGGAATGCATGGCTCTAGAAACATCCTCAGATATTTCCTTCCCTTCCTCATCGGGAAGTTCTGAGGTTGGTGAGTAAACCTGTATGACCTTCAACATACACAGCTTAGTGATTCTGAGTATAAGTTAAACAACGCTCGTCGACATATTCGCAATCTTTACAACGTTGTTAACGAGATACTTGTGGACTATAAATCCGACACTTCCTTGGGACAGATGGTCGCCCTCCCGGTGATAGAGCAAGTTGCCGGATTCGAGGATTACCGTGTCTTGACAGACCTCAGATAATCCTGTAATATCCTAGTGCAACTTGTCTATCTCTTTTTCCAGCTCCAGGATCTTCTCGACAGTCCTCAGGGTGCGTGCGTTAAATGTTGCCAGGTAGGGTCGTCTTAGGTGGCAACCGACCATTCAGCGGAGATTTTTAGCACTCTGTGCCTCGCCGTTACCATATTCGTTACCGTAGTCAGGAATAGCGGGGTAGTCGGCGACTGGAAGCCGTATCTTTGTAATTCTTGCCATGTATGATATATTGCAATAGTTACCTAGTTGCTATTAATAATTTTATTGGTGCTAGCGGGTATTAAGCTCGGGTTGCTCGCGTATTTTGAAAGAGGGTGAGTGCCGGGCCTTTTAGCCATCATAGGCTGACACGGACTATTCATTAAACTTAAATAATGTTATAAAAATATGTTTATACGATCTGCTTATGGTCAGGTGTGTGCATCCCTCTTTCCTGGGTGTGCGATTCGCAAGAGGATTGCATCGACGGATCGGACGAGCGCGGGTGCGAGGTGCGGTCGACGGCGGCCCCGGCCACGTGCGCGGCCGACGAGACGGCGTGCGGCGACGGGCGCGGCTGCGTGCGCACGGCGCGGCTCTGCGACGGCACGCCCGACTGCGCGGACCGCAGCGACGAGGCGCACTGCGCGCACGTGAGTACCCGCCTGTGTGTGCGCGTGTGTGCGGCGCGTGTGCGCGCGTGTGCGCGCGTGTGTGCGTGTGTGTGCATGTGCGCTACGTGCGACAAGGCGAAGTCCGGCGCTAGGTACGCTTGTCTGCGTGCACATGTACAATATTTGATTAAAATGTTAGTCGATTCGGACATTGAAAAAAAAGCCATTTAAAGCAGTTATGACAGTTACAGCATACAGCACAAAATATAAAAAGTAATAAAATAAAAACAAATGAAACAAAGTGCCTCATTCTAATAATTTGATAATACATTTAAAAACAACCATGGTTCGACGTCAAGTATATTGCTCAACAAAGCCCAGCACTCTTGACAAATTGGTCCTTAACTGTTAGGATCAGTTATAGACCAAGAATCACGAGTTACGATATAACAATATGCTGACAAAACGTGCCGTGGAAGCCGGCGTATGGAAGACCATGTCCCCAATTTAAGCCGGCCAACAAATAGCGGTATTTTTACATTTTACATATTTAATAAAGGGTGCGAGACATTAAGTACTGCAATTGCAAATCCAGTTGCCAAGCGTGAAGTTTATGGCAAAGCCCTCCCTGCAAGGGAGAAGCGGCTTATATCCAACACTAACAATGAAATTATACTTACTAAAAAAGTGTCGGAATGTCAAAGAGATTATAGATGCCGCAGGTACGACCGATTCCCATAAAGTGTTGTGTTGAAATAAATAATATTTGCTTAAATTGTATTATTCAATATTTAGTATTTGCCTAATATAAGAAGTCAATAACGATTATTTATCGCAAAAGTTGCTTGTGCAGTTTTTATCCTTAATTCTTGACTTATGAATTTAATTTCCTTCAATAATTTCGAATTTACTTCAATTTACTTAAATTTTAATACACATATTAACTTGTACAGGTACACAAACCGGCCGGGCATTGTCCGTCACAGCAGTTCATGTGCGACGACGGTACACAGTGTCTGTGGCAGGTCATGGTGTGCAATGGTCATCAGGATTGTTACGACGGATCGGATGAAGCTAATTGCTCCAGTGCTGATGAAACTGGCCATAATTACCAGGTAAATAATTTGATATTGTAGGGAATTCCCTACAATATCAAATTATTGCTACTCAACAGTTTTTAAAAATATTTGGAAATTATTTTTTAAGTTATTTTTAGTCGGTTTTTAGTTTTTATTATAAAATAACCTGTCATACACAACGAGTTCTCGCTGCGAGTGCCTAATCGCAGCGAGTATTCGCTGTGTGTGACCGAGGCTTAATCAAAGTAGGAAGTTGATAGGTAACACCGAATAGCACTAAGATTTTATTTGAATACTAGTTTCCCAATATTTACACGTTATTTCGTTTATTTCATCAGTACCTTAGCATTGGTGTGGATCAATCCTCAATAAATTCGACAAGTTTTCTAATTTCGTGCTGGATGGCGCAGCAAAAGATGGTGCTCTACAGCTTCCTGCCGTCCATATCGAAAGTGAGCGATGGCATATGGCACAATATGACATGGACCAGCGACAGTGTCTATAGGTAATTTCTGGTTTAATTATTTTCTATAAAAGCTTTTACAAAAATTTACTTCGCAAATATCCGCGTTATAAAATAAAATGATGTGTCTTACCTAGTACAAAGAACACCTCCCGCCCTCCCTCAATTGCGTGCACTATCCCCGTCACCACTAATCCCAGCACCGCTACTCCCAACACCACTACTTAGGACTAGTAGTCGATGACAGGCTTAACTGGGGTTATCATATTGACACAATTTGTGACAAACTGAGAGCAATGTTAGCTAAATTTGCTATCTTGAAATACAAAGTACCATTTAAAATATTACTAAATTTATATAATGCACTCGCAGAGTCAATAATTTTATATGGGATCACTAGCTATGGTAGGACATTTAAAACTTATTTGGACAAAATATACAGCCTTCAACTTCGGTTTTTAAAAATTATAACACCTAATAAAATTAAAAAATCGATCTGCTCCGATGACGATGTATTGCCCTTATTTAAATATTGTAAAATCTTACCTGTTCATATAAAAATAAAAATGTGGCTATTAATTGAACAATTTAGTAACAAAGAACTACAAATAAAGGTCAATCATAAAATAACGACACGGAAAGTAGTTCAATCAAAACTAGAAATACCAAGAGTCAGAAACTATTACGGAAAACGAACAAATGCGTATTTAATACCAACTCTCATTAATGACATACCAACTAAAACCCAATTAGAAATAACGGATAAAAATTGTAAACATAAATATAAACAATACTTTTATTCTTTACTTTCATAGCAAGTAGTCTAATTTTAATCAAATCAAACCTAATGTAATAACATATCGATAATTGCAACATTCTGTATATAACAAACTCAAGTAGCAACAGCCGGCCGGCTGCCTGCGCCGAGCCGCAATCTATAACCGGTTCCTTATTGTCCGCTTCTGTGTAAACAATGTACCCATAACTGCTGATATTGTGTTTTTGATGTTCTTATAAAGTAATATATGTGTAAACTAATGTCAACAGATTGCTCAAAAGTGTCTCAACATCCAGACAAACCCGTAAGGGTTTTTGTGATGTTTTTACGATTATATTGTGTTTTTCTTTTCATTAAATAAATTAAAAAAAAAACTACACTAGGTAAGACACACCACTGACTATAATACGACACGTGTTTCGCCTCTACACGAGGCATCCTCAGGTGATATAGACTCTACGGTGGTTAACCGCTAAGTGAGCGGCGAGCCAAAACAAGTGCCTTTTATACAGACCGATGATGCAACCGCTCTCTACCTAAGGAGCGAGCGATTGCGTCATGCGATAAAACATGCGACCAATCACCGCTGGACTTACGCAGCCGTTTGTAAAATTAAAAACAAACCGCCGCGCAACGTCCACCCTCCAACCACGCAACCAATCGCCGATCACCGTGAGGGTGACAAACGATCATATTGCGAGGCTCTCTATTATTAGAGAGCAGGCTTGAAGATATTTAAGAGAGGTGAGTTAGTAACATTTGTTTGTTCATTCAGCAATGCAACGGTATTGTTATTACTTTTTAATATCTCTAACTGTTCCAGCAAACACAGCCGCAGCCCTTTATTACACGTATGTAAGACTTTAAAGGAGTGGTCGTTGGCTAGGTTGTGTCCAGTGTCCAAAAGATGTTTGGCAAAATGGGATTTATCGGGATTGCAATCCCTGTACGCGGCTAAATGCTCTTTATAACGTGTCTCGAAATTGCGACCAGTCTGACCCACGTAAACGGCGTGGCATTCGTCACAAACAAGTTTGTAAACACCTGACTTTTGACGAATATCCAACTTATCTTTACTATTACAGATATTTCTAAGAGAATTGTTTGTTTTGAACGCCACATGAACGCCGTTTTGTCGAAGAGTATTAGCTACTTTTTCAGATATGGGGCCTAAGTAGGTCAAACTGCTCACATATCGATGAACACTGAGGTTCAACCGCGTACAGGGAATTGCGAATAACATGCTTTTGTTTCTTTTTAATTAAATTGTTAATGAGATTTTTTGAAAAACCGTTAGAGACCGCTATTTGATAAATTATATTAAGTTCTTTTAAATAATTTTCTTTACTTAATGGGACAGTAAACAAACGGTTACTGTAACAATAAAAAACGGCTACTTTATGTTGCCACGGATGACAGATTTCTCTCGAAGGAGGTAGTTTTAGTTCACACCGACACGGTCATCCCCGCGTCATTATGTCATCCGTGGCAACATAAAGTAGCCGCTTTTTATTGTTACATTAACCGTTTGTTTACTGTCCCATTAAGTAAAGAAAATTATTTAAAAGAACTTAATATCATTTCCGCGTACAGGAATTGCAATCCCGATAAATCCCATTTTGCCAAACATCTTTTGGACACTGGACACAACCTAGCCAACGACCACTCCTTTAAAGTCTTACATACGTGTAATAAAGGGCTGCGGCAGTGTGTGCTGGAACAGTTAGAGATATTAAAAAGTAATAATAATACCGTTGCATTGCTGAATGAACAAACAAATGTTACTAACTCACCTCTCTTAAATATCTTCAAGCCTGCTCTCTAATAATAGAGAGCCTCGCAATATGATCGTTTGTCACCCTCACGGTGATCGGCGATTGGTTGCGTGGTTGGAGGGTGGGCGTTGCGCGGCGGTTTGTTTTTAATTTTACAAACGGCTGCGTAAGTCCAGCGGTGATTGGTCGCATGTTTTATCGCATGACGCAATCGCTCGCTCCTTAGGTAGAGAGCGGTTGCATCATCGGTCTGTATAAAAGGCACTTGTTTTGGCTCGCCGCTCACTTAGCGGTTAGCCACCGTAGAGTCTATATCACCTGAGGATGCCTCGTGTAGAGGCGAAACACGTGTCGTATTATGGTCAGTGGTGTGTCTTGCCTAGTGTAGTGGTGTTGGGAGTAGCGGTGCTGGGATTAGTGGTGACGGGGATAGTGGACGCAATTTTGGGAGGGTGGGAGGTGCTCTTCGTACTAGGTAAGACACATCATTTTATTTTATAACGCGGATATTTGCGAAGTAAATTTTTGTAAAAGCTTTTATATAATGGATTTCCGCAAAGTAACGCTTGATTCTATTAATTATATTAATTATTTTCTATTAAAAATAAGTATTGTAAAACTACAGCTTACAACAGTTCCAGTGCTAGGCACTTGCTCTTCATGTTTACAAATGTGAACGAAAATAATTTGCAATTTAAGTTGATATTTATTTATTTAATTAGGATGGGCGTCAATATTTTAAATCGGTCTGTGAGCTATCATGGCACGACTATTGCTTCTTTTATTTGAATTTATTCGAACCTGAAATGCCGATTTCAAATAATTTTTTAAATCAATTTTTTACAGATTTACAGATCTAGAACCATACACGAACTATAATGTTACATTTTATATCAAAGACAGCAAATCGAATAAGACATATCCATCTATGAAGTTCATCAATACTACAACTGGTGAAGGGGGTAAGTTAATATTAATTTGTCACGTACCTAACCAATACATGAGATAATAATCAAATGTCCCCTTTGTAGACCCCTCAGAACAATTATTTTTTAAATGTTATTTATAAGAATTATACAACTAAAATTCAAAAATTTTTGTTATAATTAGTACCGTTACTAAATTACGAGAATTAAGATTATATGAGAAATAAATTAAATTTATTTTTCTAAACATGACCCTTCTTGCGTTGTACCTGGAAATGTAACACAATTTTATTGTGTTTTTAATTGCAATTTTTTTTTTATATAAGTCCGAAGCGACGACTTGAGTGGTCACTCCCGTCGTGAGTGTCACAACAAGTAACGTTTAATTACGCTTTCTTTTACATAATTGCAGTACCATCGCCACCACTACGTGTGACTGTGCGACAAATGATCGGCAGTCGTGTGGACGTTGTTTGGGATCCACCAGCAGAACCTAAGGGTGTAATCCGCTTCTATACGTTGCACTACGCACCTCCCATACCTCCAATTGAGAAGACTGTCTTCGTGTCGGACGGCAAAGGACCTGTCTCTGTCACAGTCAATGGATACTTCAAACCGAACAATAATTATTCTTTCTGGGTAAATATGCGATAGAATCAGAGTTATTTTAACATAACGAAATAAAGAACAAATTAATTTTTTTTTATACTTTTATATATTACATATTTTTAGGCAACTGGTTTATGATCTACGCTTTACATACATATTATGTTAAAAAAATACGATAGTTATGAGTGTGTGAAGTATTAAATCTATTATATAATTTTTCTGTTTCCTTGTTATGTAAGTTTAGTAAATACATTGTTATATTATTTTGTCCCACAGGAAGTGGACCTGGTCGAGCCCCGACGGTTCGACAAAAAATGAGATTGACTTCATTATGACGACCAGACGACAACTGTTCAGTGATGTCTCCGTGATCGGAAGGGTGAAAACTGGTAGCGATCACCGAATGGTTAGAGGCACACTGAACCTAAACGTTAAGTTGGAGAGGTCTCGTCTAATGAAGTCAACGCTCCGTCCCCCTCGTGCTCTAATCCAAAGTCCCGAAACCTTTCAGCTCGAGTTACAAAACCGTTTTCAGTGCCTAGAAGACTGCAATGAAGTGGACGATATGAATGACAAGCTCGTGGAAACTGTCCATGCGGTCGGAGCTAAGTTCTGCAAGACCCGCCGCAGAAGAACACAAAAACTCTCCGATCACACTCTTAATCTCATGGCTGTTAGACGGGAGATGAAGCTACATTCTTCAACAGACTTGACAGCATACAGGCATCTGAACAGACAGATCTCAAAATGCATGCGGCGGGACTTACGCAACTTCAATACAGCTCGTATTGAAGAAGCGATCGAGCGGAACCAAGGCTCCAAAGTCTTTGCCAGAGATCTGTCTGCCAGAAAGAGCCAACTGTCAAAGCTGAAGACAGAATGTGGAAGCATCGTTTCCGGGACACCTGAGATTTTGAGTGAGATTGAGAGGTTCTATGGGCAGCTGTACACGTCATCGTTGGAGCCACACGCAAGTGTGAGTAACGATCCGAGAGCGAGTCTCATCCGACACTATTCCGAAGATATCCCGGACGTCAGTCTGAGCGAGATTAGAATGGCTCTCCAGCACCTTAAAAACGGTAAGGCCCCAGGCGAGGATGAAATTACAGCGGAGCTTCTGAAAGCGGGTGGAAGACCGGTACTTGAAGTCCTTCAGAAGCTCTTTAATTCCGTCCTCCATGGTGGCATTACACCGGAGGCGTGGAGCAGAAGTGCGGTGGTCTTGTTCTTCAAGAAAGGTGACAACGCTCTCTTGAAGAACTACAGACCGATTTCCCTTCTGAGCCGCGTCTACGTGCTGTTTTCGAGAGTCATTACGAATCGTCTCGCGCGCAGACTTGACGACTTCCAGCCTCCCGAACAAGCCGGTTTCCGAAAGGGCTTTAGCACCATAGACCACATACATACCCTTCGGCAAATTGTACAGAAGTCCGAAGAGTACAATTTGCCACTATGTCTGGCGTATGTGGACTATGAGAAAGCCTTTGATTCCGTCGAAATTTGGGCGGTGCTGCAGTCCCTTCAGCGGTGCCAAGTTGACTGTCGGTATATCGAAGTGTTGAAGTGCTTGTACAGTAGGGCTACGATGGCTATCCGAGTACAGAACCAGAGTACGAAACCTATCCAATTGCAGAGAGGTGTAAGACAGGGTGACGTCATATCCCCGAAACTCTTCACCGCTGCATTGGAAGACGTTTTCAAGCTTCTGGACTGGAAAGGGTACGGTATCAACATCAATGGCCAGTACATCACTCACCTTCGATTTGCCGACGATATAGTCCTTATGGCAGAATCGCTGGAGGGCCTAAGCACTATGCTCAATGACCTCAATAGTGTTTCCCAACGGGTAGGTCTTAAGATGAACATGGACAAAACAAAGATTATGTTTAATGTCCATGTCACACCTATGCCGGTAGTTGTTGGGAGCACTAAGCTCGAAGTTGTTGACGAGTATGTTTACCTGGGACAAATAGTCCGACTAGGTAAGTCCAACTTCGACCGAGAGGTCAATCGACGGATTCAACTCGGCTGGGCAGCGTTCGGGAAGCTACGACACATCTTCTCGTCAGACATACCTCAAAACCTTAAAACGAAATTGTACAACCAGTGCGTGTTGCCAGTGATGACTTACGGAACTGAGACGTGGTCCTTCACTGCTGGCCGTATGAGGAAGCTCAAGGTCGCTCAGCGAGCTATGGAGAGGGCTATGCTTGGAGTTTCTCTGCGTGATAAACTTAGGAATGAGGATATCCGCAGTAGAACCAGAATAACCGACATAGCCCAACGAATTAGTAAGCTGAAGTGGCAGTGGGCCGGCCATATAGCTCGAAGAACCGACAACCGATGGGGAAGAAAGGTTCTCGAGTGGCAGCCTCGTACCGGTAGGCGAAGTGTAGGGCGTCCCCCCACGAGATGGAGTGACGACCTGGTAAGACATGCAGGAAGTCGATGGATGCAGGTGGCTCAGGACCGTGCTTTGTGGCATTCTTTGGGGGAGGCCTATGTTCAGCAGTGGACTTGTGAAGGGCTGTAATGATGATGATGATGATGATTATTTTGTTTTACACAATTTTCTATTTAATGCATAATTTTTCACAATTATGTTATTATTACCGCGAAGAAAAGTTTTCAGATAGCACAAATCAATAATCATCTTTACCTGATCACACTTAACTTGCTTACCAAGTGTTTACAGTACCAGGGCAACCAAGCTTTGCTCGGCGTCAGAACAAAAATTTAATTCTATCAGGGATGAAACCTATCTATGTAGATAAATTTGGAAAATAAAACATTATTTAAACACAAAATTCTATCTAAATCGCCGCTTTAGAGCCGCTTCCGAGAAACTAATTACATAATCTTTATATATAAATTTACGTGTCACGTTGTTTGTCCGCGATGGACAACTAATCTACTGAAATGATTTTAATGAAATTTCGCACACTGTGTGCATTTTGGTCCAACTTGAGAGATAGGATAGTTTTTATTCTTATAAGTGACCCTCAATATTTTTTATTACGAATTTAAGAATTTTTATAGGACACAGGGTCGTCGGAGAGGGCAGAACAGGAATTATTATATACTAGCTGGCCAGGCAGACATGGCCAGCTAGTATATAATAATTCCTAACTTACCATTCTTTTATGTATCAAAATATTAGGTCGGGGAAAAAGGCTCTTCCTATTTTATATACAAATTGAAGACTTTTTCAAAGTTTAATTACATTTAATTATAATATACGAGTATATGTGCCATTTTGTTCGATAACCTGTTGCCATCTTGTAGGTAATGACATAATCCCGTTGCTGTAGAAATCTTGCGATTTTTGATTAAAAAATGCGACAAGTATTTTGACAGTCCTCTCTTGATGATAGCCTAACACTACCCGAAGAATTCTGAAGAAACCGTTACAGTTGAAAATCTGAGGGCGTAATTCAGACCATATGGATTGCATTAACACTTCCCAATCAAGCTCTCTCAATTTTTGCTGAGTAGCCAAAGATGTGTGTGGTCTGGTGTTATCATGATGAAAGACCACTCCTTTTCTGTTGATCAATTCCGGACGATTTTAGTTGTTGGCAGTAGAGATCCGAATCCATAGTTTTCCCCGGCGGTAAAAGCTCATAATAAACGATGCCCTTCCAATCCCACCATCACCTTATTGCGTGTTAATCCGGGTTTCGCTACAGTCTATGGAGCTTGACTCTCTTTGATCGTGATCTTTTTCGCACGTTCTTGTCGAAGGTGATCCACTTTTTATCACTAGTGATCAATCTTTTCAAAAATGAAATGGTAAAGGGATTTTTACTTTTTATTTTTCGTAATATCCTAATAGTCAGACCAAAAGTTTTTGAGTTATTCTTAATAACTTATATTGAAGTCGGCAGTACAAATTTTTTTATTTTAAATCATATACAAACAAAATACGAAGAAACTTTTTTCCCGACTTATATTCGCTTTTAAATATTTTACGATAGACAGAACTAATACGTTTGCGGTGAAGTTCTCGAGTTGACAGATTATAACGATTATAATATTTTATTACTAGGTGACAGCAACAAACAATGCCTTCACTTCCGAATCATCAAAAGTGATGTACATAACGTTCGATGAAGTGGGCGACGTAGACGACCTCGCAAACGTCAGTATGTCGAGACCGGACAACACTTCGGTGGCGTTACAGTGGAACAAGATACGCGGCGTCGAGGGCTACATAGTACGCGTTCAGTTGCCGCTCAACTACGCCAGGGTGAAACCGATCCAGACCAAGACGAACAATGCTACTTGTAAGTAGGTCTTTTTATCCACAATAAGTTTAAGTTTGGCCAAAATCCCGTTTACCATTACAGCCTATAAAAGTCTACTGCTGAACATGCAACCTCCGCTTGGCAGCCACGCTTGGCAGGTGGGTATACAGCCGCAGTTTGTCTATATCTTGTTTCAGTTTCCCTGACATTCGACTTAAAATTTTCAAGAGAGGTGAAAGTGACAGATTGTCCAATATGCTAGGCTAAGACTTAGGTTAGGCTACACTAGTAACATTGTACACGTTAGTAATATCTCGATTTCCTTAAACTACTCCTTAAGCTTTTTTTTTTAAATTTATTTTAAGTATTTAAACATTCAAACACGTCTTTAGCATTGGATGTGATTAAATAATCACTTAATAATTACGAAAAATTCTAAATAAAGATTATTTAGGATTTTTGGAATACTGAACCTTCCGAGATTAAGTGGGTATTTTGGTTACCAAAGGAATACATGAAATAAAATGAATCTTAAACAATTTTTTTTTTCATATTATATGTATAGCTTTATGCATACATTGGTAATATAAAATGGATATTTTTTTGCAGTGAAAAATCTTCCACCAGGAGTAAAATTATATATCCACATAATGGCGTATAAAGGTTCCATGGTGGGCGAACCTTTCACAATAACGCTGCGGACCGAAGGCGAACCTCACGAAGTTTTGAACCTAACCGCGATATTGTTAAAGGAAAAACGCACTTCCGTTCAGTTATTATGGTCGCCGCCACTTGGTGAACGTTATAAAGGCAAAGAGCTCGAATATGAAGTGATATATACTGATGCGGCACATTGGAGGATACCTGGGGAGTTGGAAGGAAGTCACGGTATGTCAAAATATTTAGTAAACCTATCTGTGGTTATAAGAAAACCAATATTTATGCAATAAATCGAATCTATTAGTAAATCAATATAAGTTAGTAGTAACACCCTGGTCTGCTTATTTATTGTATGACAGAGATATCTTTGGGTTCTCAAGATGAGACTACTTAATGATTTTGTGCTAGTGCCACAATCAACCAATATAATGATATTTTCTTGGTGGTACGGTTCCTTTTCGGAGTTATAGATTATAACGGTAATACCGAAACAGACCGACTCATCGAGCACGTCCAAATAGCTGCAGATTCCTTGCTACAACAGGTCCGCAGAGATCGTGATCCTTGGCGATTTTAACGCCCACCACGCCGAATGGCTCGGTTCACGTTTAACCGATCATACGGGGAGATCTGTTTATGACTTTGCCTTGGCATATGGTCTGACACAACTGGTTACTTCGCCTACGCGGATTCCAGATGTGGAGGATCATACACCTTCCCTGTTGGACCTTCTGCTGACCTCATCTGGACGGATATCAGGTTTCCGTCGATGCCCCTCTCGGCTCTTCGGACCATTGTCTGATCCGGAGTGTGGTGCCACTCACGCTCCTCTCGCGGTTGCGTTCTGCAGGTTGCCGCCGTGTTTGGCATTACAGGTCGGTGGATCGGGACGGAATGCGGTCTTTCTTTGCATCCTACCCATGGAGGCGGGTTTGCTTCTCGCCGGATGATCTCAGCGCTGTTGCTGACTCTGTCACTGATGTGGTGCTACAGGGAATGGAACTATTTATTCCATCATCTGTGGTACCCATCGGAGGCAGATCTCAGCCTTGGTTTGGTCGCTCCTGTAAGACTGCATTACGCAGTAAGCAGGAGTGTTATCAAGCCTGGGCTGCAGCCTCGGCGACTCGGGATGTAAACACCAGCATACTTAAAAAGAAGTATAACTTCGCCTCCACGTCCTTCAAAAGAGTTATTGCCAAGGCAAAGTCAGAGCAAATAGGCAGAATTGGCGAGAAACTAGTTCGCCTTCCTTCGGGAACCCGTGCATTCTGGTCTCTCGCCAAGGCTGTCCAAGGGAACTTCTGTAAGCCATCACTACCATCTCTGCACAGGGAGGACGACTCACTGGCCCATGCCGCAAAAGACAAAGCCGACCTTTTAGGCTCCCTTTTTGCGTCCAACTCGACTCTTGATGACGGGGGAAAAACACCGCCGACCATCCCGCGGTGTGAGTGCTCCATGCCGAATGTGCTGTTCTCACAGCGCTCGGTTCGCAAAGCACTCCTCTCCCTGGACATCCAGAAGTCGAGTGGGTCTGACGAAATCCCCCCAATTGTGCTGAGGACATAGCACTGGTTCTAACGCGTCTTTTCCGGTACTCCTACTCCCAAGGCGTAGTCCCGAATTCATGGAAGACAGCTTTTGTCCACCCGATCCCTAAAAAAGGCGACTGCTCAGACCCGTCCAACTACAGGCCTAACGCCATCACCTCTTTGTTATCCAAAATAATGGAATCCATTATTAACTGCCAGCTCATGCGATACCTTGAGGATCACCAGCTGATTAGTGACCGCCAATACGGTTTTCGTCGAGGTCGATCAGCTGGTGATCTTCTGGTCTACCTGACCCCTAGATGTGTGGAGGCAGTAGAGTACAAGGGGGAGGCGTTGGCCGTTAGTTTGGACATTGCGAAGACCTTCGATCGGGTTTGGCACAAAGCGCTTCTTTCAAAGCTCCCTTCCTATTGGCTTCCCGAGAAATTGTGCAATTGGATCACCAGCTTCCTTGCAGATCGGAGCATCAAGGTCGTTGTTGACGGTGCATGCTCTATACACCGGCCGTGCCAATATTTCTCGGGAAAACGTCGCCGAGTAACCGGATTAAACTTGTGTCTGAAGTTGAGTCTTTGCTGAACAAAGTCTCGGATTGGGGGCGACTAAATCTAGTCCAGTTTAATCCTCAGAAGACACAAGTTTGCGCGTTTACCGCTAAAAAGAACCCCTTTGTTGTATCTCCTCAGTTTCGAGGCACTCCCCTTCTTGCCTCAGCCAGTATCGGAATCCTCGGAGTCGACATATCGAGTGACGTGCAGTTTCGTGGTCACTTGGAAGAGAAGGCCGAATTGGCCTCTAAAAAGCTTGGCGTACTCAGCAGAGCGGGACAGTATTTCATGCCGGCACACCGCCTGCAACTTTACAAGGCGCAGGTTCGGCCTCACATGGAATACTGTTCCCATCTCTGGGCAGGGGCTCCCCAGTATCAGCTCCTTCCACTTGACCGCATCCAGCGCAGAGCGGTTCGAATCGTCGACGACCGCATTTACCACGGGGAGTCCTCTGAGGAATTGTTCGAATTAATCCCAGCCGCCAAATTTCACGAACTTACATCACGGCAGAACTCCCGATACCATCCACACCATCTGGATGATTGGCGGTCCACTACCGTGCGATTTAGAAGATGTTTTCTTCCTCGCATGACTTCCTTGTGGAATCGATTACCATCACCGATTTTTCCGGACTGATACGACTTAGGGACCTTCAAGAAAAGAGCCTACTCTTTTTTAAAAGGCTGGCAACGCATCTGCAATTCCCCTGGTTCCCCTGGTGTAGCAGTTGTTCATGGGCGGCGGTAGTCACTTACCATCAGGTGAGCCGCATGATCGTTTGCCCCCTCTCCTATAAAAAAAATCTGAGTAGATATTATCAACGTAGCTATTTTTTAACAGACTATGAGTCATTCCATTGTAGTTCTCAGGCGTGATAGTGCATTTTTTAACTTTTACTATTAGGTGTTACCGATGCGTTATTTTTTTTATTACAAAAAAGATACCATAACACAGTATAATATGCTGTCTTGTGACAGCATATTATACTGTGTTATGTTATGCACAGACTTGTGAGAGTTATTAGGTAAGGAGTCTTAAAGGAGGCCTAATTATTAAAAACGATAAGAAGACTATAATTTTAAGATTACTCACAAATTTATGATTTTTTTTTAAATATATCCGGTTTGGAGGACCAAGCGATATGTGGGTGACTATTCCTTAATTTTTCATTGAAGTTGTTTAGTGTTGTGGACGATCAATATCTATCAATATATATCTAAAAAAATATCAGGACAAAGAAAGATTTGGCCATAATCACCATGTTCGGTAGACAGACTAGTGACCGAAGAACCGATACACTCATACCCATACGTATGTTTCTCCCCATCGCCAGTTTGTAGAATTTGGAGTTTTAGAATTAATAAAATAGACCCGATTTTATTCGGTCACCAGAAACCCATTCGTTAATTTTTATTATCACTATGTAAGGAATTTAAGAAGGATTATAAACCCCTAGGTTTTTTTTATAGGATAGGATGAAAAACTGGCACACAGTCCACCTGATGGTAAGTGGTTGCTGTGAACCATAGACATATACACATACGTTTATCTATACAAATAAATAAAATTGAAGTGTCTGTTTGTAATGTCAAAATTACAGCTTTTTACTAAATGCATATGAAAGTATATACGGTACTAATAACAAAAATACATTTTTTAAAGTTTTTGTCTGTCTGTCTATCTGTCCGTCTATCTGTCTGTTTGTTCCGTCTAATCTCCGAAACGGCTGGACCGATTTTGACGGGATTTTCACTGGCAGATAGTTGATGTCACAAGGAGTAACTTAGGCTACTTTTATTTTAGAAAAAGAATTAGGGTTCCGCGCAAAAAAAAAAAAAAACACCAAATAACACGCGGGCGAGTCGCGGGGAACAGCTAGTCCTCAATAAAGAATTAAAATGCAGATGCGTCGTCACCCGTGAGGACTAAGATGGAATGCCTCTTTTCCAGTAAAATGGGTCTCCGGTTCTCCACACCCACCATACGAAACACAACAGTGTCAAGCTGCCATTTTACGCTGGTATTCTGTGAGAGCATGACCCTTCGCCGATCGAGCCGACCCATTCGTGCTACAACTATACTACTAATATAGCTGCAGAATGGCTCTACCACGTATAAAAGTTTTGACGGGAACTTAAGGCTTGCAGATTGCTGTTCATGTTTCGTCGTTTAAATGCTTAAGTGGATTTTGATATTATATCGCAATGTGACGCATGAAATTGTTGTGAAGATATTTCTTAATATATTTATAATTTGTAAAATGTACATATAATATGTACATTTTACTGTTTACTGTTTTTGTTAGTGTTACTGTTTAATGAATTTTTTTTTGTCTAGGTGAAATAAAATTTACACGTAAAAATTTCTTTTACAGAGAAGCGTATACTTACGAAAAACACGAGCATGTTGATAGAAGGTCTCCACGCCTGCGAAAGTTACGTGTTTACTGTAGGCCTAGTTGGTGGACCACTTGCTAAGTATCAAGACATTGTAACCAGAGAAAATCCAAAGTAAGTTTTTTATTCAGCCAAAGTGAATATTAGGACTTTTTAAAAAATACAAACAGACTTCTATTATTATCATAGGCTCTTATTTTAATGTAGTACTACAGCAGAAGTAAAGTTGGATTTATATTGTTGTATTGTTGCTTCGAAATGTTTTTTTACCTAATTTAAGCCAGTGTTCGACTACAATCCCACCTGTAATAAGTGGTGATTGAGCTCTAGGTGTTAAATTATTTTGCGAGCCCTTATTACAAATCGCAAGTCAATTTGCAAGGTTCCTCAATAGTCTAGAGTTGCCAGTATAACATCAATATTTATTTTATTCACAAAATAATTGATAGTGCGGGTAGACACAAAGTTACAAAACTTATAATTGGCGAAAATTGAATAGTTGTCACCATAACAAAATACAAAATCATATAATGTGAATTTTCTGCTTATTAAATTGTTCCAAATAATGGTCTGTTTTCCATATTAACTTAATTTTTGTTTCAAATTGTTAAAATTTGTCTGTTGGAAGAGCGGGGTACCCCGTAACACAGGTTTTATCAACCCAGTACAGGGGCCCTTGCCACTTGTTTGTTACTACCTTTTGAAACGCAATAAACGATTTTTGTTTTGTTTTTTTTTTTTGTTGTTGTTAATGTATATATAAATATAATGTTTTATGACTTAAAAAAACTGACGTAATTTATTGATTTTCACAAAAACTAATTGTATTGATGATGACATGGAACCTAAATTGGTCAGTTCGTTCAGAAGTTACATGATCACAAACAGACCGGTCAAAGATTATATTTATAAAGATAGTCCTCGAAGTAACTTTGCTTAACTATTTAATTTTTTTCTAGGGCACCTATAAAAGATCTGGACTTTGTTTACGACGAAAAGAAATCTGAACTTAGAATTTATTGGCACGTGAATTGCAATGCCCTCACTGAGCCCGTGGCATACAGGGTGAGTCGATTTTGTACTTCATATTCTTGAGAATCATATATTTAAGTAATTATTTTCTTACTAAATAAACAGTAAGGTATAAAACCTATACTGCATTTTTTGATAAATTGTATACATGAAATTAATAAATAAATTAATTGATTAAATTTTACTAGTCCTACCACATAGGTGGTGGGACTAGTAATTTTAGGTCTAGGTCCTAGACGCTTACAATCACTAGATCGAGGGCTTCTTAGCTTTGCGCTCATCATCAACTAATAAATATATTTATATATAAATAAAATTGCGTCAGCGCACCGTTGATTGTCAAATAAATTATGGAATTGTTTCTGATGTATGTGAAAAGTGACTTGTGTGTGCGGATATACTCCTTACTACATAGTGATATCTGCAATAACTAGATACGAAAGTTATAATGAAAACTGTAAGAGAGTAAAACGAAGTATAGTGAGAAATATTTTCATTGATGAATATCGTTTTCAGTTGGAATTAACGGAGGAGACACGTAATAAAGTGAGTCGATATCAGCTGATCGCCACGAAAAACTCCTCTCTCGAACATGTCATCCAAAATGTACCAGTGGGTGGACGATTTAACATTTGCGTTAGTGTAAGTATATAATATTTAATAGGTGTACATAGTTTATTAAAACACAACAACTTTATAATTATACAACTATACTTTGAGATCACAATCACAATTATCGACAATTTAATCATAGATACTTCTAGAAATAACGCGAAATGTGAGTCGTGGAGGATTTTCTCGTGTGACGTCTTCACTCATGCGGCGCTCGCGACTCTCACTCTCTCTGTCTCTGTCTCTCTCTTCCGTTCTATGTCTCTCTCTCTCGCTCTCCGTCTCTCTCTATCTCTCTCTCTCTCTCTCTCGTCATTCTCACCTCACCCCGTTGCCAAGCCGCTAGCGGGCGACGGGGGGAGGGGTTACCACGACTTACTTTACAACGGCGTAGTCATGTCGAAACCAAACTAAGCATGATTATTTTTTTTATGTTTTACTAGCTGTTCACCGCGACTTCGCCCGCGCGTAATTTACTACGATTGGATTTTATGGGTTTTAATTTTTTGCGCGGAACCTTAATTCATTTTCTAAAATAAAAGTAGCCTAAGTTATTTCTTATAAAATATCTGCCAGTGAAACTCCGGTCAAGATCGGTCCAGCCGTTTCGGAGATTAGCCGGAACAAACAGACAGACAGACAAAGACAGACAGACAAAAATTATAAAAATCTTGTTTTTGTTATAAGTACCGTATATATTTTCATATGCATATAGTAAAAAGCTGTTATTTCGACATTACAAACAGACACTTCAATTTTATTTATTTGTATGTATAGATAAAAACCCATGTTACAATTTTTTTTAATAACTTATTGTGTTAGTGTAACATACTTATTGAGGCGATAGACAATGTTAATAAATTTAATTTATAAAATAATAGATACTAAAATAATTAGCATAAATCTGAACCAGATCCGATAATATGTGAAATCGATTTATATTTTATTAAAATATGTACTTAATCCAAATACTTGAAACATTCAAACATTCTTTCCTTTTTAGGCTCATGTCCAAGATGCGTCGAAGCGATGTATAAACGTGCGGACAGGCGAGTTGCCAGCTCCACGTGGCTTGGTGGCCTGGCTCGCTCCCAATGGACATTTGGTCCTAAACTGGCAACACCCTGATGGACCCAATGTGCCAAAGTTAGTATTATAGAGCAATTAATAAAAATCATGCCTTGCTAGAAGTTAGCGTCGAAAGGCAATGAGTTCCATAGGTAACATGATCATATGGGTATAAATTTAGAAAAAACCAAGGTTTGGTCAGCAGCAAAGTGTGGTTTCTTACGAATTAAATTTATTTGACACTACTTCAGAGACCTAGTTAATTTTTGTAAATATTTACAGGCATAAATACCAAATAATAGTGTCGGAAAAGGAGATTCCAGAGGACTTGCTTCATCCAACGGAAGATATGAAGGTGGAAGAAGCAGAAAGGTCACCTTTGCTGATGACTGTCCCGAGTGGCACGTCCGGTCCGTTGTACGTGAGCGTACGTGCGATTACGCTCGACGGATACTACAGCGATCTGAGTGAAGTCAACACATTGACTATGGAGGGTACGTATTTAGTTATAGTATGTAATTTTTTTTTATAGATTAAGGGTGACAAAAGAGTACAGCGTCTGCCTAATGGTAAGATGCTGTGACCCATAAAAATTTACATCCAACCTCGAATAAGAATCAAAATGCAGATGCGTTATCATGTCTAAGGACTAAGGTATGCATCGTTTCGAATAAAAAGGGGTCTCTGGTTCTTTACACTCTCACCATACAAAACACAGCAGCATTAATATTTATTATAACAGTATTCCGTGAGAGCGTGGGTGGTAGCCGACCCATTCATGCTACAACCATAATACAGCTGCAGCATGACTCTATCACGTAAAAAGAATTAAATACACAGATGTTGAAAAATATGTAGAATTTTGTTTTTCTTTTTTATATTGCTAATATTTTTACAAATTTAGGTTTGTGTATGAGCTGATTGATAAAAAATTGGGGTGGTGATACCTTTATTAATTAATTGTTACATTATATAATTTGTATTGGCAACTTATATGAACTCTAATGCCTTAATACTCAAACGCTGCTCAATGTGTAAGTCTCGTGCTGTCTTTATTATTTTAAGTCAAAGTGACAGTGACACTACGCCGTTACAGCCTATTAAAGTTCACTGCTGAATATAGATTTCTTTCATAGATTGCTTTGTAGGGGGAATATTTGTCATAGTTGCCACTTTTGGCGATCGGGTTGGATATTGCAGTTTTTTTTTATTTTTAGTCGTTATTAAGAAAACGCTGCTGCCCATCTCTTGATAGCAACAGGATGATATGGGGTAACATTGAGGAGCGTTTGAGTATTTGGCCACTATTAGTTTAATTTAACCACGTTTTTATTAATTCACTTTACACATGTTGTCTTAAATGTTACTTTCTTCATTGTCGGTCGTTCCGGGTGGAATTTAGTAATTTATTTTAAACTAACTTTATGATGAGTTGGAAATTTAAAATTTTGAATATAGCTCAAATTCGGATGATAATTCAAGACTATGATAAAAACGTGGTAAAAAAATCCGTGAATGTCGTGGAACACTCGGTTAGAACGAAGTTCTTTTCGTAGTATATTATTATTGATCGTCTATTAAAATGAAGCGTCATTTAAAATAAAATAATATTTTTTTCATGACAAGATAAGAAAAAGTTCGAGGGAGATGGATATTATTCCTTATATCTGCTAAGGCTGCGAACACTACGTCAGAAGGGGTCGTGACTGAAAAAGCTTACTCTTTTTCTCGCCTAGCTCCCATCCGCCAAATTAGTACCGTTCGATAAGGAATTTCGTTGAAAAAAAAAGACTAATTTGTTAATTGGGTGCGGCAGGCGCGGAGGCGTCGACGAGTCGCGCGGGCGCCAGTGCGCTGTGGTGGGGGTGCGGCGCGGCGCTGGCGGCGGCGCTGGCGCTGGCCGCCGCGCTGCTGCACGCCGCGCTGCGCCGCCGCCGCGCGCCGCGCCCGCAACCCCGCGCCGCGCACACGCCGCGCTACGACAGCCGCCGCGGACAGGCCACCATCGGCGACCACGGTACGCCGCCGCACACACACACACACACACACACACACTACACACACTAACACCTTTATGCATATATGTTATGGACCATCGATATACAGTGATATTTATTTATTTATACTTTATTGTACAAAACGATAAAAAAAACAAATTACAAAGAGTAAAACTTATGAGGTAGGTACAATAAGGCGGTCTTATCGCTAAAAAGTGTTATTTTGCAATATACGGCTAAAATTGAAGAGAGAATTCAGAATAAGTAAAATAGGCTAATGGTGAATAAAAATTAATAAAAAAAATCTCAAACATTCAGTCCTTTTTATCTTTTAAATTCAGAACGCGTGGTAATGTATTATTTTAACCGATTGTCATTTAAATAAAATTAATTTTACGGATTTTATCGGGTATATTAAGTTATTTTATATTCCCGACATCTTGGGTGTTTTCCAGCACCCGTGGTCACGAGGGACTGATGTGTTTGACGTCCTAATGTCAGAGTTAGCCCGGCTACCTTTAGTTTTTTAATATTAATTTTTGGTTCGATTTACGCAGAATGAGCTTACAGTATCTTGTAGTCTAGCAGTGGTATACTTGGGTTTGGATTTAATTTTATTAATTATGGGATCCCAAACATGGCAGCACCCATCCATCTTCTCTATTGAAATTAGGATGTTTTTTAATTTCAATTAGCCTCGCGAATCATCCTTGGTAGAAATCGGTGTTCTTTTGCGAGGATTTGTGGTCTATCAAATCTAATGTAATGGCGGGGACGATTTTGAACATGTTCACAAACTGTTTTATCATTCATAAACATCTAAAGCCTACTATTTTACTACGCAAGCACACATTAGTAAGATCGATCAATCGGCGAAAGCGTTGTGAATTGAATCTCACATAAAGGAACGCGCATGCGTACGCGTACTACTACGGTTGTTGCCCATAAATCACATTCAATTTGGGATAATTTCAAATATAAGTAAAAGCCATATTTACTCGTATTTTCAGAAAATACTATAACGGTATATCATTATTTATATATTTGAACTTAAGTTTAAAATATAGCTACTCTTTGAAAAATAACCCTGTATATGTAGTACGCACTAGATATTGCGATCCGAACACTCAATCTGTTCAACTGAACTGTACTGCATTCCGTACACCTTACTTTAATGTACCTTCTAGACACGGGTAACTCAGCGAAATTCTTGCCTTAACTCAATAACTCAGGTGTACAAATGAAACACACCGATTGAACAGCGAAACGTGCACAATCTGCACACTGCACTTTTATTGCGCCCAATGCTAAGCTACCCTCCGGAAGTGGGCGAGGCAGGTGGTGAATGCTCATAGCATACCACGCAGCCGGCTGCGTGGTTATATGGGACTCACTGTAAACGCGAGCGACCATGGTAACGGCGGGGCAGGGGGTGTTAAGAATCTCCGGTGTAGGTTCGGTTGCCACCTAAGACGACTCGACCTGGCAACATACAACGCACGCACCCTGAGTACTGACGAGAAGATCGTGGAGCTGGAAGAAGAGATAGAGAAGTTACGCTGGCATATTATAGGATTATCTGAAGTCCGAAGAGAGGGGTAGGACACGGTAATCCTCGAATCCGGCAACTTGCTCTATCACCGGGAGGGCGACCATCTGTCCCAAGGAGGTGTCGGATTTAGAGTGTGTCGACGAGGGTTGCGTATCTTATACTCAGAATCATCAAACGGTATTCGCTGAAGGTCATACAGGTTTACGCACCAACCTCGGCACACCCCGATGAGGAGGTGGAGGAAATGTATGAGAATATCTTTAGAGCCATGCATTCCTCCAAAATCCAATATATGGTGTTAATGGAAGACTTCAATGCAAAACTAAGGCACAAGAGAGAACGGTGAGCTGAAAGTAGGGAAATTTGGAATAGGGCAACTAGTGTTGCCCAAATGCAAGAACAAGACGAGACTTAGCAAGTCTTGGTCTTGGTCTTGCGCCAATACACCTGGTCTTGGTCTTGGTCTTGGTATTGCGCTCCCAGTCTTGGTCTTGGTCTTGGTCTTGCAGCAAGAGTCTCGCAAGTCTCGCAATGACCTATTAGCCTATTACTATTTATTAAACGTTACTTTAGATCTTAGAACAACTTAACAGAGTAGGTACATATTGAGCTTGAATTAACATAGCCATAGTAAAGATTAACCATATTAATAAATGTCTAAACATTTAATGAGAAATTCGAAAAATCAACTGACACCGGATGGGGTTTGAACCCACGACCTAAGCGATCCGTGCCGATGCTCTAACCAACTGAGCTATCTACCGTGTCCCACGGCCACGGGCGTCAGTTTCTTAATAAACGTATACATTTAATAAGCTTACATGTGCTAAAACATGGTTAAACATACATATAAATCAAATTAACGGCAATAACTACACTGTATTTTAAATAACATTATCTCTTCTAGAAAGAGATTGATGGACCCTCACCATATATGAAATGGAAAAAAAGAGTTATACAATATACAATTTATTTAAATAAAAAATAAAATACGATGCAAATTAAATTACTTCACAGTATGTACACAACAGCTTTGACATTCCTGTTACTTTATATTTATTCTTTTGACAAAGCATTAATACAAAGTAACCATCTGGCTGACTCATCACTTAACCTATTTCTATGTTTTCTAATTACTAATGATGCTTTAGAAAATAGTCTCTCAGCAGGTACTGAAGTTGCAGGTATTAAAAGAAAATCACGGGCCACCTTCGATAAAATCGGATATTTTTTCTCATGCGTCCTCCAACAGTCTAAAATGTCTTCCGAGATGACGGCTCTGGGTTTACCTAGGTACCCCTCCAACTCCTTAATAACAAAGCCTTGAAGACAAGATCCAGATCCATTTTTACACATTTCAAGTGTTTTAAAAGTGCTATGGTGTCAACCATATTTATCAAATGTGTGACGACATATTCGAGCACTTTGTGTTTTAAAAACACACACTTGCAAAAGTCGAGATTTGCAGTGAACTTATTGAACATGTTTATCTTTTAGGTAATAATAATAACAATAATAGTAAGTAATTATTATAAATCCATATAGTTAATTTTATAATAATTACTTACTAGAATAAATTATTATGATACCTACCTATTATCTAATTACAAGATTTCTTGCGAGATCAGGATAATGTATTCGTGTCCATTCTGAGCACCCGGAAACTTATTTTATTCTTTGAAACATGTACTCTGTGGCGGCAATCAAACAGTGTCAAATGTAGTGCGTGTGGCGCGGCGGCGACGATTATGCGATATCAATAGTAGCCGCCTGCACGTGTATCTTGACCTTGTACTTTCGAATAGCTGCACAATTTCTTTGACAGGTCAGTATCCGACCTTTGATGACGCCGACAACAAGACGCCGCGCACCATCAAAGTGCCGATGGTCAAAACTAGGGATGCACTCTTTTTTCTTTTAATGGATATTTTCATTCGCTATGTATATTTATGGTATTGTACGTAATGCGCATAAGTCCAATTTTCCAATATTTTTTTTCATTATATTTTTTGCGTCTCATAGAGTCCCTAAGCGTATACCCGAACTCCTATACTCCCTGAAACGACACTTAGTCCTAACTGCAAGACGCAAGAGTCTCGCAAGCTAAGTCTTGTTCTTGCGCAAATCTTGCACGGTCAGTCTTGGTCTTGGTCTTGCTAAAAAGAGGCAGTCTTGTTCTTGGTCTTGGTCTTGCAAAAATGCAAGAACAAGACCAAGACTGCAAGACCAAGACCGATTTTGGGCAACACTAAGGGCAACGGAACCCAAGGGGCCAGCAGCTGGTCGACTTCATGGAGAAAGAGGGACTCTTTATGATGAACTCTTTCTTCCAGAAGCGGTCCCAAAGGAAGTGGACCTGGTCTAGCCCCGACGATTCCACAAAAATTTTTACTTTATATAAAGGTTGACTTCATTATGACGACCAGACGACAACTGCTCAGTGATGTCTCCGTGATCGCGAGGGTGAAAACTGGTAGCGATCACCGAATGGTTAGATGCACACTGAACCTAAACGTAAAGTTGGAGAGGTCTCGTCTAATGAAGTCAACGCTCCGTCCCCACCGTGCTCTGTTTTAAAGTCCCGAAACCTTTCAGCTCGAGTTACAAAACCGTTTTCAGTGTCTAGAAGACTGCAATGAAGTGGACGATACGAATGACAAGCTCGTGGAAACTGTCCATGCGGTCGGATATAAGTTTTGCAAGACCCGCCGCATAAGAACACAAAAACTCTCCGATCACACTCAATCTCAAGGCTATTAGACGGGAGATGAAGCTACAATCTTCAACAGATTTGACAGCATATAGGCAACTGAACAGACAGATCTCCAAATGCATGCGGCGGGACTTACGCAACTTCAATATAGTTTATATTGAAGAAGCGATCGAGCGGAACCAAGTCTCTAAAGTCTGCTTCGTTTCGTTTCCGGGGCACCTGAGATTTTGAATGAGATTGAGAGGTTCTATGGGCAGCTGTACACGTCATCGTTGGAGCCACACGCAAGTGTGAGTAACGATCCAAGAGCGAGTCTTATCCGACACTATTCCGAAGATATCGCGGACGTCAGTCTGAGCGAGATTAGAATGGCTCTCCAGCACCTTAAAAACGGCAAAACCCCAGGTGAGGATGGAATTACAGCGAAGCTTCTGAAAGCGGGTGGAAGACCGGTACTTGAAGTCCTTCAGAAGCTCTTTAATTCCGTCCTCCATGGTGGGATTACACCGGAGGCGTGGAGCAGAAGTGCGGTGGTCTTGTTCTTCAAGAAAGGTGAAACGCTCTCTTGAAGACCTTGAAGACTATAGACCGATTTCCCTTCTGAGCCGCGTCTACGTGATGTTTTCGAGAGTCATTACGAATCGTCTCGTGCGCAGACTTGACGACTTCCACCCTCCCGAACAAGCCGGTTTCTGAAAGGGCTTTAGCACCATAGACTACATATATACCCTTCGGCAAATTGTACAGAAGTCCGAGGAGTACAATTTGCTACTATGTCTGGTGTATGTGGACTATGAGAAAGCCTTTGATTCCGTCGAAATTTGGACGGTGCTGCTGTCTCTTCAGCGGTGCCAAGTTGACTGTCGGTATATCGAAGTGCTGAAGTATTTGTACAGTACAGCTACGATGGCTATCCGAGTACATAACCAGAGTACGAAATTTATCCAATTGCAGAGAGATGTAAGACAGGGTGACGTCATATCTCCGAAACTCTTTACCGCTGCATTGGAAGACGTTTTCAAGCTTCTGGACCGGAAAGGGTACGGTATCAACATCAATGGCGAGTACATCACTTACCTTCGATTTGCCGACGATATAGTCCTTATGGCAGAATCGCTGGAGGACCTAAGCACCATGCTCAATGACCTCAATAGTCTCCCAACGAATAGGTCTTAGGATGAACATGGACAAAACAAAGATCATGTTTAATGTCCATGTGACACCTATGCCGGTAGTTGTTGGGAGCACTAAGCTCGAAGTTGTTGACGAGTATGTTTACCTGGGAAAAATAGTCCGACTAGGTAAGTTCAACTTCGACCGAGAGGTCAATCGACGGATTCAACTCGGCTGGGCAGCAAACTACGACACATCTTCTCGTCAGGCATACCTCAAAACTTGAAAACGGGACTGTACAACCAGTGCGTGTTGCCAGTGATGACTTTCGGATTTGAGACGTGGTCCTTCACTGCTAGCCGTATGAGGTCGCTCAACGAGCTATGGAGAGGGCTATGCTCGGGGTTTCTCTGCGTGATAAACTTAGAAATGAGTATATCTGCAGTAGAACCAGAGTAAACGACATAGCCAACGGATTAGTAAGCTCAAGTGGCAGTGGGCCGACCATATAGCTCGAAGAATCGACAACCGATGGATAAGAAAGGTTCTTGAGTGGCAGCCTCGTACCGGTAGACGAAGTGTAGGGCGACCCCCCACGAGATGGAGTGACGACCTGGTAAGACATGCCGGAAGTCAATGGATGCAGGTGGCTCAGGACCGTGCTTTGTGGCATTCCTTGGGGGAGGCCTATGTTCAGCAGTGGACTTATGGAAGGCTGTAATGATGATGATGATTGAAGCAGTGCCTACCCACTAAACACTACCTGTGGGACTGGCATTGCCCTGTATGACCTTTCTTCCGTCCGTCTGCCTGTCAGCGGGCAGTATCTTATGATCCGTAATAGGTAGACACTTGAAATTTTCACAGAATGTGTATTTCTGTAGCCGCTATAATAACAAATAATAAAAATTAAAATAAATTAAAAATTAAAAAGAGCTCCCCTACTAGATACGTGTATTACGAAGGTACGGCACCCTTCATTTCATGCGCGAGTCCGACTCGCACTTCGCCGGTTATTGTAATAAAATAAGCGGTAGATATAACACACGCTGTCTTAAACGTTACTAACTTTTCGTCTCTCACCAGTCGGGCTTATTTGAGATGGTTAATTTTTGTAAGACGCTGATACTGAAACAGTTTGTGAAAAATTGCTGGTGATAGTATGAAAGAGTAAATAAAACAAAATGTTTGTACATAAACTTAGTATATTTTGTATTAAATTATTTGTGTAAGTCTTATACGTAGTGTATTTTTATTGCAGATGACGACGACGTGCCTCCAATACAAGGCTTCTCTGACGACGAGCCCCTTGTAATCGCGTGAACCTGCAACATTGTGATGTAACGAAATCTTGTCATTTATAGTATTTTTATATTTATTTATGTTAAATCTCTGTTTATAAAAATCTAAACATTTTCAATCTTCGATAAGGTTGTCGGTTGAAATTTAATTATGTGAATGTGGTTACAGCCTATAAATTTTATTGACAAGTGAAAGATGTTTTTGTAGTTAGGGCCGATTTTTCAATCTTCAATGAAAATTTATTCATAGTGTAAAAATACAACAAATTAAAAATTACAGTTGTGTGAATAAAATAGTTCAATTGTTTCACTTTTATATTCAGTCAGGTTATAATTTATTCGATGGATAACTTTAACCTGGCGATTGAAAATTCGGTCGATAATGATATAAGTCGTGTCTATTATTTTTAAATGATAATCGTTTGAGATGTTATCTATACGCAGAATTGCTAAGCTCATTTTATGCTACAAAAGTTTTTTAAAGTTTTAAGTTTTTAATATATTGATTTTTAAAAGATACGAAATATTGAGCCAATTGTATCGTTTTTTTTTTAAATTAAGGTATGTAGTTGCAAGAAGTGACAACCAAAATAATTTAGCCAGTTATTTTAGAGTATTATTGTATAATTAGGAGTTCAATGGGTCCTTACGCTTGCTGTAGTAAAAATTATTGACAAATATTTGAAGTAAACTTTCTTTAAAACTCTATTCATTTAAAAATGAACTGTATTTTATAGCGTTAGGTGATATTTTCGAGTGAAATGTAAGCTAACGTAAACGGGCTGTAAATTGTAAGACTTTTTAATTGTGTAACTGTAAAGACATATGTTTATTTACGTTTTGTTCTTATAGGAAGGAAGAAATATTATAAGTTTGTGTGACCGTAGCTATCTCATCTTGTAATAATCAAGTTCGACACCAAAGATCTTTATGTACACCCTAAAGTACAATGTTAGTTAATTTATGCTAAATGTAATGTGTTGAACTGTTATTGATAGAAATTATTGTCCCCTGTAGATCTCGACATTCCCATTTGTAGTAAATAGCTTTTTTTTTCAGTTGTTTAGTTCCTATAAAAATGTAGTGCTGCGTCCTTTCTTATGTTTTATTTTAGAGATTTGTATTTTAAATATAAGTCGTGATTCGGGATAGTATTCAATTATGTTATTTACGTGAAGTACCAAGCGTTACTAAATTATGTTTAACTTATGATATATTAAGCTCATACTGAGGCTGGTCACAGGTTTAAAAGTTATAAACATAATGAACGAATTAAATACATTATAAATAAAATTAAGTGTTGTTTTATTGTTGAATTATTATTCCATTCAACCTGATTATTCTATATTTCGCGGTGGCATACAATTAAAATGAGAAACAACAAACTTTACACTGTACAATATGTGAAAAAATCAGTCCGATCTGTGAGGGTGCTTTTAGGTACCGTCATAGGATTCTGTTGTAATGTAATTATTTGCAGACATTATATATAGAAAAATAGCATAGATTAAAAAAAAAATTAAATGGGAGAAACGCATACGCGGGCGGGCTTCGGGTAACTATACTGCCACAAGCTAAACGATACCACAGTTTTAAGACCTTAGTAGGAAGATTTAGAAGGTCTTTAAACTATTACGATACTGTCGCTAACGACAGTTAATAAAGTTAGCTGTTTTGTTTATTGTACAATATGTAAAAATTTTGTCTTTAAATGTAAAATTGTTGACGTAATGATATTTAAGAAATTTTCAATTATAAAAAAAAAAACAATGTTACTGTTGAACATAATTTAGTTAAATAAATAATAATAGTCGATAATAAGTGATTATGCTCATTAAATACAACCTATATCTATCGTCGATTAAGAATCAAAATTGAAATGCCTTTCGTCATTCTTGGGGACTAGAAGCTAGGATGCTTCGGTGTCAGTAAAGGGATCTGCGGGTTTTGAAACTCACTAACATTTGGAACACGACATTGTTATCATGTGTACTGTAAGAGCATGATTCGGTCCGGTCTCCGGTCGAGCCAGCCTGATAGGGCTGCAGCCATAATACGAAAAAGTACGTATAATAGGGAGGTTTCAACCTAAACTGACTAGGAGCAGCGGCAAGGTCTAATACAATAAATATACCGTTACATGTTACGTTGTAATAATCTGCCGATCGTTTTCTACAGGTCAGTAATGTGGAAATGATAAAAATTATACGAAAACTGAATAATAATTGTTACGGCCTACGGCTGCTCCCTTAAAGGATCCAATCTTCAGGGGCCCATGAGCTGAAGATTTCCCGAACAGACGTAGGTCGGGCCCCAATGTGGCCACGTGGAAATTCCTAATTACATTAAAATATATGGGGGAGCGTTATACTACGGCCAGTCGACCGGAAGGAATTTGGATGAAGCTTACTTACCTATCCAAGGCGACTGGTCCCTCCGGAGTCGGTCAGATCGCATGTGGTTGTGTAGTGCAAGGGAAGGAATGGTGATGTGGTGTGTATCTGGGTGTGACTGATGGTGATTGAACCTAGACCTTGGCCGTCGGCAGCAGCCCGAGCGTCGACACCGCTCCAACTTGAGGGCGCCTTTCGAGGTAGTCCACAGTCACTTTCTTCTTTCGTCACGTTGCCAGTCAATTAACTCTATCGTACGATTTACTAACTTACAGAAGCCACTAACTATCGCTGGGTATAATGGTTCCCGCACAAACGCACACGGAGTTTAAAGGGTCAAAGGTCACTACCGTTTCGCGTAGCAATAGTTAATTCTAGAATATCAGTAGCAGCACTATCTAATATTGCCGAATGCACTTATTCAGGTTTTGAGTCAGACACAATAAGTCCCGGGAAGCTCTCCAGTAGGAATGCGCGTCACAATGATAGACCGTATATTTACTGGCCGCGCCGAATTATTCCGAGTTCCCTAACAGAATGGACCGCGTGCTCACGTCAGCACCGATTATGGACGACTGACTTTTTTCTCGCGACTCGCGCCCTCGTGCCACGCCCAGCCGAACTTTAAACCGGAATCGCGCCGAGCCGAGTGACATCTGGTGTCGACTCCGACAACAGTGTTTTGCGCGAACAATAATATTATAACTACTGAATAAATAAATAAAAAAATACCTTCAATCAACCCTAAAAGATAATAAGGCCTTTGTCACCCATTCCCGTACTTGCATCAGTACGACTACATCATCGCGCCAAACAGCAACACCTACCACTGAGAATACGTCACCAGCTGTACACATTAGGGGTCCACCTACACCAGTCTGAAATATAAGAATTGTTTTTTTTTTATAGGATAGGGTGATAAACGAGCACACAGTCCACCTGATGGTAAGTGGTTTATAAAATATTAAATAAATGAATTGCTAAATTAACATTTTTAAATTGGGTAACTGTACTTTAAAGACCTTTAAATCGAAGTTCTCTGTTGATCCTTTTACCTGCTAAAAGCTTAAGGGGTGACCTTAATCGAAAATTTTAATTTTTAGTCTCTTGCATGGGTTTAGATTACAGTGTATTGAAAGTTGAAACACTCTCTTAAATAAACGTCTGTGATAGATAGGCGATTCTGTAACGTTATACAAAAGTCTACATCTGAACATAAGCCTCTCCCATAGATTACCACATTTTTTTATAGGATAGGGTGACAAACGAGCACACAGTCCACCTGATGGTAAGTGGTTGCTGCGGCTCATAGACATCTACATCTATCCTCTATTACAAATCAAAATGCAAATGCGTTGTCACCCGTGAGGACTAAGATGGAATGCCACATTTCCAGTAAAAAGGGTCTCCGGTACTCTACACTCACCACACGAAACACAGCAGTGTCAACCTGCCATTTTACGCTGGTATTCTGTGAAAGCGTGGTCCTTCCCCGGTCGAGCCGACCCATCCGTGTTACAACTATACTACTAATATAGCTACACCATGGCTCTACCACGTATAATAAGTAAGGTCATAAAAATACTGTAATGTTATCACCGATACCTTCATTCAGTTTCAAGCATTTTTTAACTGATTTGTATTAGGAATGCCTGGCAATGTTTGTTTCTTCTTCTGTGACTATTGAAAGTAAGTTGAAGAAGTTGTGTAATCATCAATAAAAAATATATGCCTAGACGGCTTGAAGATATTTGAAGGGCAAGATTTGGTAAGATTTGTTCGCATCGCCTACATTTTATGGTGATTACAAATACGCGCTCGCAAAAATTAATAGCACATTCTTGCAAACGTACCTATTTATTTTACTCGTATTTGTCAAAAATACAATGCTGTAATTGGGTACTTTGTTTTCGTAAATTTTTTCATATTGTCACAAAATAATAATCTTATAGAATTTACCTGAAAAGACTTAGGTGCTTATAATAATAACTTTACTGTCCCAACTGATTATAATATTGTCTATGCTTATAGGAGACTGCTCATTAGTAGTTAATAGGTAACATATACTTAGAATATTAGGTAAGTATAATTGTATAATGTAAATATATTAAATTAGTAATCTATGCTAGATAACAAAACTAGAGACATTTTGAAAATTGGCGACTTCCTAAAATGGGACATTGATTGATCAAATGTGATCAATCAATGTCCCAATTTAGGAAGTCGCTAACATTTCTCCATGCTTATAATATAGCATGACGAAATATTTAGACTTTTTCAATGTCTTTCGTTATTAGTCTTTTAGTAATTATACTTATACATTTAAAACTCACAACAGTGGTGTTGTATTCAACAGAAGCACAGAACGCGTCGATTGGAAGATTATATCCATGGTCTATAGAAATTCGATCAACGCAACTTCGAGGAGACAAAATGAAGGCACGTTGCCAACGTAGACGTGGACATATGGCTATAAAATTGCAATAAGAAAAATTAATATTTCATTTACAAAAAGTAAAGTTAATTTCTATGGTTATATGAGACTTGTAGTGGGGTCATAAGTATCCCGTGGGTGTATTAAGCGGTGATAGAGAGAAATTGAAATAGTTGGACAGCTGCATCTTCCTTAAGACAGCTCTATAAAAATTTCAAAAAAAAAAGACTGCGATCGCCAACCCGCCTGTCAAGTGTGCCAGTCATGGGTAATATCATCTCTATGAGGCAACTTATTGGGGAGGAGGTTCAGTAGTGGAATTTTAATAGGCTTTAATGAATAAATGATTATAACTGATAAGCGATAAAAATATTTAGCCTTTAAAAAAGCCTACTCTTTTTTAAAATGGAAAAGCATCTGAAATGCTGGTGTTACAGTTGTTCATGGGCAATAGAAATAGTCATTTAGCATCAAGTAAGCCGCGTGTCGTTTGCCCCCTCTTATATAAAATATTGCGCTTTCAAAATTCTAACTTACCTTGATCGTATCCACCCCATCCGACGAACATGCAGTTATCATTAACATTCACATCCGAAACGCATGCGGGTAGTACATTCGAATCTAGTCTCAGCGGATGTTCCCAGTACTGCAATTTTGTGATATAAATTATCTATTTTGCGGTCTTGTAGTTCAATAGTAAGCAACAACCTTAATCATTAATTATGACGTCGAAATATAAATGCTACATATGTACATATGTTATTTGGTGCCGTTATAGCATGTCTTCCTCTTCCATTCACCTCTATTAGCCGTCATGATTTCACTCAATCCTTTCTTACGCATATCATCTTTGATACAGTCCATCTATTTTTTGCTCAGGCCTCCCTCTATTCTTATATCCATCCACTCATTCATTTTACTTATGAAAGTAAAAGTAAAGTACTACTACTATATGAAATTAAAATGAATGAGTGTATATATTGCAATAAAACGAGGTAACTTATAAAGTAGCTTATGATCACCAACCCGAATTTTATTCATTTGATTGTACCGTTATCGCAAGTTATCGCCGTGCTTGAAAGGAAGGTTTTTTGCTCCGATAAAATAATCAATAAGTAGGCCTTTTAATCTACTCTTCAAGAATACAAAAGATCCTATTCTTATAGAAGATTCTAATAAATAGTGGATCCTGTGAGCCATAGACACTTACATATAAGCTCAATTAATGCTCGACACACACGGTCAGTTAAACAGATCAGTTGAAGTGGCGTACATTTAAAAACTGAAAGTGAGTGTGAAATCTTCTTAATTTGAAATTTTTAACTGACGGCAGCCCACGGATTTTTCCAGGCGCACGGTCATTTAAACTGAACAGTTGAACTGACGTATGTACATCCAAATACTGACCGTGAGTGTGAAATATTAAGTTGAAATTTGAAGCCAGTGAAAGGGGAAATCGTTTTGGCTTACATCCGTTTGAACTGATCAGTTTACCTGACCGTGTGTTTTGGCCATTAGGATCAAAATGCAATTGCGCTGTCACCCCTGAGTACCTACTTAGGTGGATTCTACTACATGTATGAGCTTAAAAGGAAGCTCCGACAACTTATTAGTGTATACTTTTATTGTGTTATAGAAAATAAATTAATTAATAAAGAAAGTAAGATAGAATGCCTCGTTACTAGTAAAAAAACCATATGGAACAGCAGAATTACGTTGATATTTCACCTTAGTATTCCGTGCGAGCGTGGTGCTTTCCCCGTCAAGCCGATATATTCGTACTGCAATAGCATGACAATATCACGTGAAAATAGCTTAATATAGCAGTGTTATTTCGCTTGGTGAGTAAAAGAAAGTAATGAACGTAACCGATAGTTATCAATTGCGCAAGATATATTACTCGTATAGTGCATTACTTGTAAGCGCAAAATCAAAGGACACAACAAAACTTTTTTATTGTTGTTATTTAAATCAAAATTTGCGACTCAAGTGAACTCGTACTTTGACTATAAGTTATTAAAATAATTCTATTGCATTAACAAACCAAGAGAGCTAGATTATAAGCCAGTTTTCCAGGTAAATACTGTTGATGTACGTATACAGAGGCCAAGCGATGCTGTGATTGGGCTTCATCATCTTCTTTAAGGTCCCATACTCCGGAGATAATAGTGATTTCACCAGGGGAGAGTCTGTGAATATACAATAATATAATTATATGCAATACACGGTAAGGGTATCATAAAGTTTAGAGGAATTTCCTTCCACGTAACTAACTACAAAAGCTGTGAAGTTAATTATTATTAATTAAAATTAATTGCATTAGCAGAATATAGCAACGAATGAGAAATTATAGTCACGAGTTATTGTAGTTTTAATATTCACTGTCTGTTTGCTTATCAGACGCCAGCGAAATGACGAAATAGAATTTAATATTATATAGAATATATAATATTGTATATAACATACCCATAAGTGCAGTCAGCAGCAGTCACGGCGGCACGTGGATGTATTAGAGTCGCATAACAAAGTATGCTTTGCTGCCTTTCAGTCAGCACTACTAGAAGAAGCCATGGGTGTGACCCTCGTGCAGCATCGCCTAACAAGCTGCCTAAAATTAAGTATTTGTTATGAGGAAATAAAATATAAGATACATTTTATTATGGAAGATACAAATTATAATTATTTTTAATGTAAAAATGCTCTGGCTAGGCTCTGGCTAGCGCTTACGCTAGGCTAGCAATTGGTAGATGACATTCGAAATTTAAATTCGACATGTAAAAATGGCGAATTAAAATTCCACAAGTTGTTAATGGAGAGGAACTTTGATGACCTGCCCAGTGTGGTGTTGTTTCAAAATATACATAGGTACCAATTGGCGTATCCTTGAAAACAGTTAAAATCATATCCATTGTATTAAAAATATAGACAGAAAAAAAAAATGTATTATCTATTTGGATGTTTAAAGTATATTCAATATTTTTTTTTTGTATAAAGTATATCAAGAACTTGGCGTTTCGGAAAAATGCTGTGCTATCGTACCTATATATATCTTTTTATATCGTTTTACGTTGAGAATGTGAAAGTTTTAGTAGTAATAGTTTCGTGAATTTCATTAATAAGTACTTAGATATTATTAAATATTGGAATGATTACCACAATTGATATTTTCAACATTTTTTGCTCTTGTTCTCCCACATTCCCCGTACACTTGCTGCGTGTTGTCAATATAATCATCATAATCGTTATCTATGTTCGTCTCGAAATTAGGTTCCTCTTCACTATTCTCTGCGGAACTTCCTGTCGTTGAGATTCTACTTGAAATACGTATAGGACGGTGTTTATTTCTAGTCATTAAATTTAGAAGTTTAAATCCTTGTAAAACTTGGAAGTTGGGATTTGAGCGATAACTGACTTGACTTTCTTTTGCATTGTGCATGTTCTTTGAATTTGTATTTAATTTTAAAAGTCTGCGTTTAAGGTTGGAAGCGGTCGTCGAAGATCCATCTGTTAAGAAAAAATATTATTGGTAGAAACGGCATTTCAGTGTTAATAAAAGTCAAAAATTATCATAAATATATTAATTAAGTATAAATAAAAGATCATAAAATAAAAATAATAATAATCATCATCGTTGCCACAAAGCACGGTTCTCTACAATAATAATATTAATTAATTAAATTTAAATTAATTTTAATTTACCTCGAGGATCAATTGTTGAATAGGCAATGGATTCACTGCTCTCAACGTTATCGTAGGGTACCCATTTGTTTGCATTTACAAAAGTCCAATGTGGCCGACTATGATCGGAATGAAGACCTACTAGACCTGGTTTCGGAAGTTCGGGTGCGTAATAATCCTCAACATAATCGTTATAATATTCCTGCTGGGAACTTCCCGTTTCGTAATCTTGTTGTTTATCGGGAGGCCTCAAATGTGAATTTTTGATATTCAAATATGGATCGATGTAATCATCACTAGGTGTAACAATTTTCTGTAAAATTTTTGGTGTTGTTGATATAGTTCGTTGTGTATCCCGCATTTGAGATCCATATTTTCTTCGTAACAAAGCGTTTCTCTGCTTAAGCGCTGGACTAATTTTATCTGTTTCATTTGTTGATCGTTTTAAACGGTTATCATTATAAGTGCCCGAATCAGGGAAACTTATTTTTGAAGACTTATGTTTCGTCAATGAAATAATGCAACAAATTTCCTCCGAATTTTTGGAACGTTTTTTTGAGTTTAGACTAAAATGCAAGCAAGTTTATTATGTAAATCAATTATTATAGATTTGGAAAATTTGGAAATGATAAATGTACTATATAAAAATAACTTACATGTTTCCAGGTGCGTAAGGGAGTCCATTACGGCGATTGCATTCGATTTTCTTCATATACGTGCAAATATTTTCTCTTAACGATACTTCTTTGATTGTATCAAATAATATTTTATCATTAAAGGTCTCATTTTTGTTAACATTTGATTGAGTATAATTTTCTGATGTAAGTATTGCTGATGTTCTGTTACTTATAGCCACATTTTTTAGAATTTCATTATCACTGGGAAATATAAAGTTAAGAATATCTTTCTTGTAATTTTTGTTTTTACGTTTATTTATATAGTTGATTTCATTATTTTCAGCTGCATTTATATCATCCCTGAAATACACGATGGCTTCACTGACTTCTGTTCTAACTGTTGTGATGTCAGAATGCTTGTCTTCTTCTTCTGTATTGTATAAGCTATCTCGAAACACAACTTTGGCGCTCTCGTCGGTATCAAATTCACCAACTGCATCGAATTTGGGCCGCGGTGGTTCCACATTCTTCAACTTAGCCAATTTGTCATTTAACCACCAGAATTCACCATTTATTTGTGCTGTCACTACTTTAAATACTAAAAAGAAAATTAATATTTTTTTGAACATGATGTTCGTAACGTTGTGTTTTGTGCGATACGCGGAAAATGCGCGCGGTTCATATATTTACTGGGTCAAAAGTTAGAGGGCAGGATGTTGCGGTATGTGGAGTGAGTGCAGCAATTATCGGGTTATTTTCAATGATTATACGCTTTTAGCTCTTTTTTATTTCGCGCCAATTATTTTGATTTGCGATCAGAGTACGTTGTGTTCTCGGCCACAGTGTGACGGCAATTTGCGGTCAACTACTAAACTGCCCCAATTTTGTTAGAGTACAGTCTGTTGATAAATAATAATATTTGTTTTCTGTAAGTGTAATTAATGCTACATTAAAAGTGAAGGAATAAGACATTTGTGTGTTTATACTCGTATTTGTGTTTATTTGTCATATATTTTATATAAAAATCCGTGTTGATTTTTTTAATAAAAATCGCTTTAGAATTTCTTCAGTTATTAACTTGATATTATAAGCTTAAAATCTTTCGCGAAAGATCAGCCCAGTACTTTACTAAATGAAAAGTTTTATTCAGATATTGTTTCAATATATAGAAATGTTAAACGTATGTATGAGTAACTTTCAAATAATTAATTTAGTTTTAGCACATTTATGAATAATACCAGATTTTTTTGCTGACTGTACGCTCTTGATTAAGTAATTACAAGAACTGTCATAATGAGTAAGATTTCTAATTTGATTATTAGCGTTAAACGCATTAACGTTATAATAATGCGCGACCTAAATTCTGGTATGATACATTTATTATTGCGAATACTACTTACGTGTAGATGATAGCGCAGTGGTAACCATTAGATTTACCGCCCAAGTTATTAAAATTAAATGAGGAATTTGAAAGTTATTTTCAATTGTTTAAATATTGAGTTAAAACAATATTGAATCTTACCTACTGCCTGTGTCGAGACAGTTCGACGCCGTAACGAGCGGCAGTTTGTAAGTATAAAGCTGAAACGGACTAGAAATGCTAAGGCTCTGTGTAAACATAGACATTTAGTATTGTTACGAGCTTGGGGTTCGAGATAATTAAAAACTACCGAGTGAATTACACAATTATAAAACACAATTTTCACTTTGGTTCGCAATTATTTCGCTTCGAAGTATTCTCTTGTATCGCAACAGTATCTTGTGTGGGATATAAGCTACCAGTGAATATTTTATTTTCACGTAATCAATATGAAACCAGCCATCCCTTTTCCAGAAACAGACACTTTTTGTATCCAGTTGCCACTTAACACATACCGACCGCCAATCGAAAAGTGTTCAGTGTAAGTAACTGGAAACTTTAAGTCGTCAGTTGGAGACACAAGCAACACAAAGCAAATTTTGGACGAAAAGTACTACATTCACAGGACACTTGACGAGATGAAGAGGTTGAAGGATTGTCTTACGCCGCCATAACACGACAATTTTCATACATATGGTACCTATAGGTAGCATTCTCGACGATAGTAGTGAATAGCAGCGATGGGTTAGGCAACCATTAAATTTAAAACTTCTGGATTTCAGTTTTTAAAGTCACCCTGTACCCAACTCAATACTGCGCCCTTACTCTTTTATAAGAAAGTTTAAAAAATCCTCTTCTGAAATTTAGTATAATCGTCAAAAAAACTAAATTTAAATGAAATTTTTACGGTAGGCTCACAGAATTTTAATCGAGATTATAGTATCACCTTTTCAAATTTCTTCCTAAGCGTTAAGTTAATGAGCTGGCCTCGCTTGGCCAGGCAAATCCACCTGCTGGGGACAATAGTATACACACATCAACAGAATTTAGGGATACCTTAATCCTAAATTATTTACAACTTTATAGTTTAAAACCTCTTTAGTTTCCATAAAGAGTGTGTATATTGAAACCTCTTTTATTCTATTTTCAAAATTTAAAAATATAAACAAAAAAAAAAAACATAATACGGCGGCAAAATTGTTAGTAATTCGTTAGACGCCCATTACACGGTAGGTTTTGCTGTCAGTTTTACAACAATCACGGTTGTGATTGACGAATAACCTACCGTGTAATGCGGTGATTGACGGTTGCATGAAATTGATTGACAAATATCTGGATATTTTGATTTTTACGTCAATTAACTATCAGTCACGAATTTTGATTGAACGTGTAATGACATTTCGTCAATCACGCGTCAGTTAACGCTCAGACAGCAATGGAGGCGGACGCAGAATATATTGAAGTCTGCGCGGGTGCAGACTTCAATATATTCAATTCGTATATAGGCATTCCAACCTTCCCGCCTTTTTACTTCTTAAATAAGATTTCTAGTTGTCTTAACTACAAATATTGTCGACTAAAAATTCTTTATAACTAGAGGAAAGTATATTTCAAATATTATCTCACAGTTTTAAACCAAACAGTGTTAAATTAAAAATCAAAACACGTACGCAACGAAAAACGCTCATTCTCATTTTCCTAATTTTTTGACAAGTTATGGTCCCGATACAATTAAGCATATTTTACATTAGCTCATCTTTAGGCTTTTTTATTTGTATGAATGTGACTATAGACATAGTAATGCAGCTATTTTTGTTTAAATCTATAAGTTTATTATTTTATTTTAGTGGAAATTAATGGGGCTGTAATTAGATATACGAAATGTATGGAGTGCTTAATGTCAGCCGCTCGGCTGTTATTTGGTTTGACGTATATAATAAGAAGTACCTAATTCCAGCCAAGTAATATAAATCAAGGCTGTCATAAACTGGAATAAATACCATTAATTAGAACATAACTTATATTATACTTAGGGAAGTTATGATCAATTCGTCTATATTTTAAAATTGGTTTTTGATTTAAAAGTTTAGCAAATGATACGTACTTGCATTTGACATTGGGTATATGTAAAGAACACCATACAATATTTAATTATTTTTTGAGAAAGACAAATACAAACAATAAATGTAATTAACTACAACTTAGTAATACTAATTTTACGATAACTTAAGAACATAAATGAAAAAGTCATAACAAGGAGAGTGGTACAGGACCATGCTTTGCGGCAGTCTATGGAGGATGATGTTCTGTAGTGGACTTGTGCAGAGCTGAAATGATTATGAAGATTCAAACACTTGGATGATTAAATTATAAGAAATCGATGTACTATAATACATAATTTTTATTATAATTTTGTTTTAATTAATTGTTTAGTGTTAAAAGAAAAATAGAACTGCTTAAAGCTAAACCACAGTAAGGTAAGAAGTAAAACATTAAAATAAAATAATTGTTGTCGTCTATCTTAATACATATTTCATGCTTGTGACATGCATGATTTAAAATGAAAAGTTGTTATGAATTTATTTCAGTGCCCCTAAAACTTACCTACAATAGGTACCTACTAAAAACTCAAAAGGCATAGCCCTATGTTATGCAGGCATTAGGTACATAAAAGGAAATTGAAATTGGCACTAAAAGGCTGGTAATAGGGGCATCCACCCTATACGAATAAATATAAAAGGTAAGCTTATTTTTCGTCCATAAATGCGTTTCAAATAAAGCCGCGTATCGATTATGCGCTCCAAGATTACGTGGTAGAGCCATACTGCTGCTAAAGTACTGGTATAGTTGTAGCATGAATGGGTCGGCTCGACCGGGGAAGGACCACGCTCTCACAGAATACCAATGTGAAATAGCAGTGTAACGCTGCTGTGTTTCGTATGGTGAGTGTAGAGAACCGGAGACCCTTTTTACTGGAAACGAGGCATTCCATCTTAGTCCCCACGGGTGGCGACGCATTTTCACTTTGATTGGCAATTGAGAATGAATGTAGATGTCTATGGGCCACAGCAACCACTTACCATCAGGTGGACTGTGTGCTCGTTTGTCACCCTTATCCTATAAAAAAAAGGTGGAACATTGGCGCGCGTTAAAATAAAATGGGTAAAATGATATTAAATATTACAATTTTTCCTATTCGTTTTTTTTTCTTTTTCTTTTAAGGACATTAAATTACAGTTAAATAGTGAATCAAAAATGAACTTAGTTTATAGGTAGGTCCTTTCCCTCCGAAAATTTGCGTTTGACTGACATCAGTCAACATGAGCGTGTAATGTCGAAATTATTCTATCATTCAAACATCAATCATGATTGATCGAACTGATTGACGCTTGCGTACGCGTGTAATGGGCGTCTTACGTCAAGGAAAAAATTAAAATTGTTCTACTGATATTAATTATGTAATGAAAAGGGATTAGATTGTTTTTTTTTTAAATTTAACGTGCCGTGTGAGCTTTAAGAGTCATGTCACGTCATCATTTGAGTCGAGATGAAATGTTACGAGCCGTAGGCACACCAGCCAAAACGTGATATTTAGGTTGTGGTCACGTTATCGCAGTACTGGAGATGTTGCTGAACGGCACACGGGTAGATATCGTGTTACTAAGCAGAAAACAGGGACGATCCAAATGACCGCCAGAACACAACCCAATATCACAGCGATGCAACCACTACAAATGCTCCAATAGGATCACCAGCTGCTGATAAGCGACCAAACCGTGCGAAGGAGGTTGCATGAAGTTGGTCTTCATGCTCGAAGACCGCTACGTGTTCCAGCATTGCGACGTGGTAATCGCGGTCGGTGGCTTTCGTGGGCTCGGGAGCATTTACCATGGAGTGACGAACATTTGGTACTGTTCACCGATGAGTCCCGGTTTGGGTTTCATCTGGATTCACGAAGAACACGCGTTTGGAAAACTCCAGGGAGAGTTAGCTGTCTACGGTACCCTCAGGAGGTCCACTCAGACCAAGGTGGGTCAATCATGGTGTGGTCAGGAATTCGTCATAGCGGACGAACCCAGCTCGTTTGGATCCAAGGCAGCATGACCGCACGAAATTACCACGAAGAGGAAGTAGAGCCTGTTATTGTCCCATACAGAATCGCAATGGGCCAGGAATTTCTACTCATGCACGATAATGCTCCTTCCCATACGGCGCGGCTGGTGTCGGCCGCTCTCCGAGACCATGATATTCTAGTTTTGAAATGGCCTG